GCTTGGTTGTGCTTACTAAGCCTTTCCCGTGGTCTCGTGTCATGACTAAGCATAAATAGGGGTCAAAGAATAAGAGAAAAGGAAAAATCGTAACAGCTTGAAGACCATTAATACAAAGTACAGTTGGAAAGTGTAAACTTTTCTAGAGTGGAAGTTGTTAGCAATGAATGAAATTAAGGATATGTGTCTGTGTACCAATGAGCCTCTAGATGTGACTGTTTAAGTCTGTTTAAGTGAGGACTACTCTAAGATACTTCAAGCAGATACAGTTGACTCATATAGATGTTGCCTCTAAGTCTCTGTAGAGATCTTGAGAGCTGCACCATTCATATCCACTTAGCTATCCACATAGAGTCTCCACTATAGCTCTTATAGTGCATGTCTTAGCAGCATAGGTAATATGTTCAAATTAATTGAAATTGTGCAAAATCTAGGGTATACAGATACACTGCATATCACTGGGACACCCTACAACGATGTTTGTACAACCCCATACTCTGTGATAACCTATACTATTGAGTGTCGACGGAGGGGTATGGGTTATTACAGAGTTGACTGTATATAGAATGCCTGATGGTGATTTTCCGGGTGTTTCTCCGTTATTCTCACGGTTCCTTCTTTGTCCGCCGTTTCGGTGCCGCTTCCGGCTTGTCGGCTTTCACCGTGTGGTTGCGCAGGCTATCAGCCATTATACCAAAACGAATCCCATCACTTGTTTATGGATACTTTTCATGACGAGTGACTTTTGTTTTATATGCCACTGTATATGAATGCTGACCTCGGGCTCTAGTATGACTTTGATGGTCGGTGGCTACTATATGAACATGAGGACGGTCCGCCAAATAATGGAGACACTGAGGATGAACCATCTTGGCAATCACGACGGGGAAGAGCAACTCGCGTTCATCATTAACAACTGGCTCAGGGAACATGAGATCCATAGTGTCTTCAGCGCTGTCAAGGAGTTGGAGGGAAAGCCTGGCTTGATACTTGTGTCTTTTGTTGGGGTAAGTGTTATGGATAATGCGCTTCTTGGGTGGCTAATATGTATATCAGGATTCGAACGCCAACAATCCAAATCCCGATCACACTGTCAAGCAGTGGGTACAAGACAAGGCGCAGGTAAAAGAGGAAGACATGACATGGATTACCTTTAAGGACGATGGGGTTATCATGCGCTACACGAGAAAGCCAGAGGTGACCCTCGTTGAAACCCATGAACCATGTGACGGTATTATAGAGGAGATGTTGAGGTTGATTGCCAAGCAGAGTCGCTCCCTCCCCCCCAGCGGATGATGATACAACTACAGACGATATAAAGTTTCAAAATCAAAACAGACGACCGGGGGCCCAGAGAGATGTTGAAGGAAAAGAAACAGCGCGTACGAGCCAGTGCGTGCACACGAAATGTCTTAGACTTCCTCAGCCTCCTCCTCGGTAACGCTAGACCACGTCAGAATGATTTAATAAGGTAAGAGACCTCCGAATATTGATGATCTCGGCACCGCCTTGCCGCTCCGCTAATGCGTTAAGGCCGTCTACCGGTTATCGAATGTTGCGTTCGATGACGCGGCTGCGCATCAAGCCATCGAGCATCTGAAGCTCGGCGTCAACGACGGTTACGCGGTTGAGCCGTTCCTGGATGGCTGAATCAGAACAGGACGAAACATTGTTTGAGTCACGGGACGAACTAGAAAGAAAGGAAAAATGCCGGGGCCACCACTTAACGAGACATGATCAAGGAGGGTCGCTGCGCGGTGAAGGTTATTCACGTCAACACGTGCGGAACATCGGCCGTGGCCGCCCATCCTTGCGGTTAGTGCAAATTTCTTCGCCCAGATCCCCGCTATACTCGCAATCCTGGGGACAACTAGCGACTGTAAAGCACGCCCAAGTGAGCTAGAAGACGGACATAAATGAGAAGATGAACATATGAAGAGGAAACTACTTACTCGGGAACGCGCAAGATGGGTGCACCAACATCGGAGTGCGCCATAAACATGGCAGAACGGCCACCCCGCGTGCCAGAAGAAGTACTGAAAGAGGACCTGAGTCGAACCATGAATAAAACAAATGAACAAGTGCCCGGCCAGGGAAGCAGGTGCGAGAGGTAAAGCGGACATTTTGAGCCGCTCGAGTGCTTGGCGCGACATGGGCTCATGGAATGGCACGGCCACAGTGGACAGTGGGGTGAAACGCACGCGCATACACGGTATTGTCCACAACGGGAGAAGCGGCGGACGTGACACGAGCGGCACCACTGGCAGAGGGAATGGGGGGAAGCAACGGATCCACCGGGGAAAGTGGCACGGTAACGATTATGGGCTTTAGTCCTATATTGCGTTCGCTTCCGGAGGGGCGGCCCCATCCGCGTACCTCGATTTCGACGACAGGCGGCGGCGCGGCCTTCTGCTTGCCCTTGCTCTTCGGAGGGGTTCTGGAGATGGTGAGGGTGGCGCAATGGACTTTTGCCTGCCATTTCCTTTGGAGGTCTTGGAAATGTTGGTGGTAGGTGACAGTGGAGTTGCTGAAGGAATGGAGACGGTGAGTACGAGCAGGGGCTCACCAGTGGTACACACGTTGGGCAGATGTGGACGGGTGTGCTTGGAGGAAAAGGTCCATCCCCCAAGGCTTCATCGATGCCGTAGTCGGAAAATCCCCGGTGAAAGACCTGAGAAGCTGAGGCCGGGTTCAGTAAATTGAGAACAGCAAAAATGATTTTTTTTAAAAAAAGACGTACCGAGGAGACCCGGAGGGCCACGGGACTTCCTTGAAGCGACAGGAAGGGATACAATTGACACTTCAAGCCCCGCAGCAGCCTGGCTCCACTTACGGGTCAAGGGCGGCCCCTGGAGAACAAATCAACGAGCGGTGGCAATAAAGAAACAGAATAAGACGTACCGGAGGAGAACGTATCGCGGAGGTCGGGAAGTCGCCCATTGGAAAGGTAGCTGCCTTGTTTTGGGGAACAATAAGGAGAAATGTCAGTTAGAGACGAACCCGGTTGTCTCTCTGGCTCGGGCAATCTGATAAGAGCAGGCTTAGGCCCTTGCGGGTGCTAGAACTGGAGAAAGTGCACTTGTATCAGCCCGGTGGATCCAGTGTTGGGGAATGGGAAAAATTTACCTTGAAGTAAGGTCTGCCGCGCCTGACTGACCTACCGAGAGAGGTATATTGGCGACGCGGGAGGCTGTTTAGACGGGTACGGAGTAACGAAAAGCCAGTAGCTCCACCCTCCGTCCAGATAAACGGTGACTTGAGGTCAGTAACACGGCTGATATCAAGGTGGGGATCATCCTTTGCTACATTTAAGTCAATGAGTCGGTGGACAGAATCGAGAAGAATTGAAGTGCGAACCTGAAATATCGATTCGACTAACAACCGAGCTGAGCTCCAGCGGGATGGCCACAAGGGAAGCAATGGCGGCAAAGACATCTGCTCTCCTTAATATGGGGCCGGACTGGACGATAATGGTCAAGGATTGCAGACGTTCTAGCGCAAAGGGAACAAAGAAGGAAGAGGAGAGAAGAGGGAAAATGGCGAATAACTGTCAACATCAAGATCCAAAGACTATGAACGAAAACGGTCCGAGTAGAATCGGTTCGAACATGAAAGGGGAATTGTCGTCAAGTCTCAGGCCCTGTATATCCAGGGTCCCAAAGTTGGTATAGGAGCACTAAGGAGTGTACAGCCCGTTGCGGTTGCAGTGGAAGAGCAAAGTGACAGATGGGAACTAAAGGGCGGTGTGATATGGGAAACTATCACCGCCAGTCGTTGATCCTAGACCTTTTACTGGATGGTCCTTCATCTACTAGTGATTAGTGATATCGTGCAGGACGTGGACAAAGGTTAGGTTATATGGGTTCTGGCTGAGCTTTAAGCAGTGAATATCAAACAGTCGCATCGAACAAATGCCGGAGGGTTGGCAGCGCTGGTCTGTGATATCGAAACCGCATCCTCATCCGACAAGAATACAACACAAGTCACAGTGGCAGGCTGAACCCTTGAAATTTCAGTGGCAGCTGCATGGGTTCGACCCTGAAGATAACACTACTGACTGTTCTATCGTTCTTTTCTGAGGCAAGAGGTTTGTTCAAAGGACGCTAAGAGATAAGTTGATCATTAGCTTTTAGCATTTAACGCGAATCTTGTAGAATTTGTCTTACATGAATGGATAAGTCCATCCCCTCCGCTCTAGGCACCACCAGTCCTTCCCGACATGCCAACGGGAAGTTACGCGTGCTCGCAACATTATTGTTTGTCTTTGTCGGGGCCGACGCGAAGCATTGGGATAACAGCCTTCCACTTCACATTTCTCTGCAACAAGAATTCAAAGCCGGGCCATGTGAACGATAGACTTTGGCTCGTTAAGCATGAATATCGACTAGCTGAAGAGGACTTGGTGAAAGTCATGATGAAGTCATCGCAACGACCTACTGGACATGGCATATTCACTTTCTGCTTCGGAGACGAGACAGACTCTACAATGTCTTGTTCTATGTACGACGTTGGGTTCTGCCTTGTGATTGTAAGCGCCTAGGCTGGTCGACCGCTGACGTGGACACCGTTCAGGGAGCAAAATCTGAGTACAACTTTCTCTCTGTCAACTTGAAGCAGCCGTCGCCTGGTAATCGCATGGATGCACAAGCTACGGTTAGCCTCTAACTTCCAAGTGTTAATACCAAGATAAATCAAGAAGTAGGCAAGTGGACGCACCTATTGCGCTCCCGTGAGCGCGAAATCTTGCCCCTTACTGCACCGTTAAACGAAAAATCCAGGACATCAACATCAGCTGGTAAAGGAAATGACGTTTTTCTAAAGAATGGATAGCAGATCAGAAAAGAGATGTCAATGTCGCCGAGAACGCTAGTACTGACCGCAATGACCTGATCGAGCTTCTCGCCTTTTCACATGCTACATGGGAGGTAGTGCAGCTCATCAGGCCACTGAGAGCATCAAATAGGAAACAGATGGAATAGAAGGATAACAGACAGCGTAAAGAAAGGCGATGGTGGATGGCTCAGAGGAAGGACTGTAACCCTAACCCTAGAGTAGACTCTTCGTCGAGCGACCAAGTACTGCCAACCAAGCCGTTATTAATAACTTCTCCAGCGACTGTCGAATCTTCGTAATAATTATATTTCACCCCAGATGAATCATACTAAAAGTCACATTTAGCTTTATCTATGTTCAAAATCAGGAAATCAAATCAAATCATACCCAACTTCCCAGCTGGTGGAGGACATTATGCTCAGTCGTTGAAGTTTGCCTAGGCGGCAACATCATTCGCGGTGACTAACGCTTGGATTAATAGATCAGCTACGTTTGAGCTACTCATAATATCGTATTTTCCGAACCTGTGATGAGGGCTCCAGGTCTCAATTTCAAATTCCTCGTCTTTTCGTCGCAAGTAAGTGCCACCATGTTAGCCCTTTCATTTTCTATTGATGAGTACGATTCAGTACATTTTTTTCCTACTATGTGAGAGGCGTAGTCATCTCAATGAGTCAAGGGGATCTCACATGTATCGCTCGCGTTTGCAATTAAATATAAACACCACCATTGTTGGCTTTTCATGAATGGTTATCTTCTCCTCTTTTTGTTTTCAAGGGTGGCATTCTCCCAGACCACCATATAAAATGCCGTCCCTGCTGGGGCAATTCCTCCGGCAATTCTTCTCTCCGCCTCTCACACTAACTCTCCAGTAAATATGGCTAACTCACTGTTCAAGTGAGTCACCAATACTCTGGCATCACCCATGAAATTCTAACACCCTCCCCAGCTGCCTGCCAGGCCATCCACTGCATCTCTTCAGCACCCTGAGCACTAATTATGGTCTCGCATACACTTGCGAGGACTTCTACACCTGCCTTGTCAGCGCGGGCTCCCTCCAAAATCTTATCACACCAGGCCACCGGCTCGACTGCATCATCATCGAACGCCGGGGTCCACCCTACAGCCCCAGCGACCCATTCCTCCCCACGCTACTAGCGGCCCTCGCTGAACACAAGGATATTAAGACTCTCAAAGTCGTAGGCGTCAGATGGTCTGACTTTCCATACCCCGACTTGTGGTATGCCTCCGTCACAGAGTTCCACAATATCACTTATCTCAACTTGACGGAAACCTCTCTCCGCGCGGATGAGTTCTGCTGCCTCGTCCGTTCGTTCCCACTACTGCAAATGCTCGATGTCCAGTGTTGTTCCATCTTTCCCGGCTTAGGCATGACTAACCAGCTGGGTCCCGCGATCCTATATCTAGTCCTCAATGTTAAGGAAGATTCTGACATTCTTGATATCTTCACCCATCGCTACAACGTGTGCTCTCCAGTGTCGTTCGACAGGCTCTACAAGCTCGAAATATCGGGAAAGGGCGGCAGGGACATTGGCCAACAAATCTCCAGATTGGTTGATGCCTCGTGGCCTCGTGAATTGATTATAGATTGCATGGACTTTGATCTCGGTCCGTCACACTCTCGATGATCCCTGTCTATCATATACTAATCATGGTGCCACTACTACAGCACACGCACCGCGTATCGTCGGGCTATCTAAAACAGAAAAGCTCACCATCACTATTCCTCTTAATGCCGAAAATGGATTCCGACGCACCAACGACTGCCTCCGGTGGTGGACATCTACCCTCGAGCGGGTACCCCAACGTAATAAATTCGCGGAGATCCGCATCAAAATCGTTGTCGATCAGCCATCGGTCACTCATTATCTCTCGGGAGGAATACCGATGCCATGGACTCACTTCGACGAGGCTCTTTCTGATAAAAAATTCAAGTTGAAGGGCAGTTTTGGTATCACCTTTTTGAGACAACAGGACACGAGCAGCACGTTTGAAATCCAGCCTTATGACTATTGGATGCGGCTCTACGCTCTGGCAAAATCTTTTAAACACCATTTGGGTAGTGGTCATCAAAGACACATGTGAAATCTGGTCATAATTCCAAGATCCTTGTATTTATTGAATACATCACTCATATTCAATGTAATGATTTCTAGAACTATAAGATACTTGGTCATGCTTGTGCATAGCAGTCAGTCAGTGTTTCAATGAATCCCTATGGATAGACTGCTCCAGTATAGGTTACTCAAGAAACACAGCCACCAGCACCCTCTGCTTGTACACCACAAAATATCTCGCAGGACACTGTTACAGACCAAGAACAGGCAAAAGTCATCCAGACTTCTGCCATCCATGCTCCAGAAACCTCTGGTAAGAAAGTGTAGAGAGAGGGCCATTTGTTCCAGGAGTTGTCTGGGCATGCATGCCCTGCCTGCTGCAATATGGCTGACTAGAATTGTTGACATAATTCCCTAGAAGAGATGTTGTAGTCATAGTCATGACAAGGAACAAAGACAATACAGATAAGACACCGTAACGTGCTCTTCAAACCTGCTTCTCCATCCCGATCACTTCCTCCAAAGCCGCAGAATGGTTGCTCCCCATAAAAGTATCTGCCCCCACGGCCTTCAACGGCGAACGCACAACGTTACTCCCACAACCAAAAATTCTTCGCTACGACCGTCTTGAACCCAGCAAGTGGCGCAAGCTTCCTTACCACCCAATCCGCATGGGCGATATTCGTCTGCAATTTCAGCCCCTCGTCCATCTTACCCAGCTTGAACAGATCATACAGCGCCACATGCAGCTTGGGGATTATATTTGGTGACGCTGACATCGTCCCAGCGCATCCAGATATCAGACCGTGGAGCATGCAATCCGTCGTCGACGTGTATATCCCAAATTCGGATGGAGAGAAAACGGACGCGAGCCTGTGAAGCTTACCCATTTCACCACAAGCGAGCTTCGCGCCTACGATGTTTGGGTGCTCCGCAAGGTCTACGATCGCGTCAGAGTCGAGGTTTAGCCCGTTCGTGACCGTCGGGAAATTGTAGATAATGATAGGAATGGGGAAATTATCTGCGATCTACAGAGGACACGATTTTGGTGTGAGCATTCTTACAGTGACATCGACCGATAGAAGAATAAGGTCCACCCACCGCGCGATATGAAGCGATAGCAGATTCAGGGGTGATCTTCAGGGGCCAGGGGCCAAGACAAGTGCATACGACGCGCCGGAATCTGCTGCTTCCTTGCATAGTTGGATTGTCATTCTGGTAGACGGTGCACTAGCACCAGCGATGACAGGAACGTTAGTGAACCCGTTCTTGTCCAACACCTGGCGGGTAATCTTGATGACATCGCGTCGCTCACTCTTTGAGAGCAGCTGAGCCTCCCCATTATCGCCGTGCACGAGTATACCAGCAACACCTCCCTAGAAAACTGAGGATAGCTGGTATCGCGTTCACCACATACTAAATTTTGGTACCAGTGCCAATCTCAATGTATGAGATTCTATAGCTTCAGGATCGAGATCTTCATTCTCTGTCATGAAAAGGATGGTGGCGACGTGACATCCAGGTGGCGGTGGATGGGCCATGGTGGTATAAGTCAGAAATAATAATCGATCAATGGTACGGAAGCCCGAAAGCAGCACGTGGAGCGGAGGAACTGCATCTCGGAATGACCTTGAAATGAAGACCAGTCACCACTAATCCCACCGTATGACCCAAGGAATGTTGCGTTCTCTCCAGCTTGTAGAGGTTGAACCACGCAATTCCGACTCGAATCAGGTGTAATCGATGATCCTGCGACAACTTTTGATTAACGGTAAATTAATTCAATGGACTCTGGGTGTACTATAATGTTAAAGAATAGCCCTAAATAATTTTTTGAGGTGGCAAGGGTGGGAGTCGAACCTGCCCAACCTGGTGCCAAAAACGGAAACGGCAGCGACGTCGCAACTGATTCGCTTCTCTCACTCCGACCACCACCATCTGCCTGTGTGTTCTTTTGGCCCACAGATATACGAGCAGAGGGATCGTGGCAAGGAGTAGGGTATGTTCACGTCCTTGCTAGTGCAAACGTATTGATATTCATTATTCGAAAGGGAATCGAATAGCAAGCTCTTCAGGGCAAAAGTAACATCTTCTGCATTACTTATACCAATCGATAGCTCGATTTCTTATTCTCTCCAATACAATAAGGACGCAATTTTAGCGCCTTAATCTCGGCCTGATTCAACGTGACTTCCTTGCTTCTGATAAGCGCCCAGGGCACCCTCAAGATACCGTCAATACTCCCGCGAAAGCTCAACCTTTTACCTCCAATCGTTGACGATCTTTGACGATCTGAATACATCACTAACTTTCTTTATAGGTTATCTATCATTTGTGATATAGAAATCAATGACGTCGTCCGTCGATGCTGCACAAGATGCAATCGTACACACGAGAGGCTACCAGCAGGAGATGCTCGATGAGAGTCTCAAGAGGAACATTATCATAGCGATGGACACAGGTTCTGGAAAGACGCATATCGCAGTGCTGCGGCTGAAGATTGAAGTCGAGCGAGAGCCGCGCAAGGTGTGTGCTGCCTTGTTACTGCTGCAGTCCTAGCTAACTTCCTCGACTGTAGATATCGTGGTTTCTAGCTCCCACTGTTGCGTTATCGAAGCAGCAGTTCCGCGTCATCCGGGACGCAGTTCCTGTATCTGTCGGCCTCGTATCGGGATCGTTCGAACCGAACCAGTCGAAGGACGCATCCTTGTGGCGGAGGGTCATTGAGACCCATCGGATCGTGGTATCGACCCCACAGGTGCTTCTGGATGCCTTACGGCATAGCTACATCCAAATGGGACGCGACATTGGATTAATGATCTTCGATGAAGCGCATCATACTGTGGACAAGGCACCATACAACATGATCATGAAGGAGTTCTACTTTTGCCTCTTGCCACGAGACACGTCCAATCTCGACCCTCGATACGCTAGGCCGATGATTTTGGGCTTGACGGCTAGTCCTATATACGGGGGAGATATTGCGAAAGCCTTCCGGTAAGGGCTAATTGATGTTTCTGTGACTCCCAGCCTGATTGACTATCCCAGTGAAATAGAAGGGAACCTCGACAGTGTCATTCTCACTCCACGCCGCAGTCGCGACGAATTGGCAAAACACGTCCATCGACCTGTTTTCAAGCACGTCAGATACGAGGCACCAGACGATGCTCTGTTTTCGACCAACTTGGCCAGTCTACAGCGAGTTATAGGTACGCTCGACATTGAAAAAGATCCGTCTATTGTTTCTCTTCGCCTCGACCTCGCCAGGGCATCCCCTAATTCGTCTGAGTACCGATTTGACCAAAAATTGTTAGAGACCATTCTCAAAGAAAACACGTTCACATACCAGGGTCTTCGCGATTTCGAGCGCACGGCCGGGGATATCCTTTCCGACCTGGGTGCTTGGGCGGCAGATTGGTACGTTTGGACGGTGTTAGAGCAAGCCAAAAGGGCCTGCCAAGGTGATGAAATGATGCCTTCCCGGAAAACACAGGAGAAGAAGTATATGCTGGGCCTCCTAAACCAAGTTAATGTTTGCCCGGTGTCTTACTACGCATATGACATCGTCGAGGACTCGTCTCAAAAAGTGGCGGAACTCGTGAATGCACTATTGCGAGAGAAACAGGATTTCGAGGAAGACGATGAGGCGTTTAGCGGTCTTGTGTTTGTTACCCGTCGTGATGCGGTTCTAGCGCTCACGGAGATCCTCACACACCATCCTGACACGAAGGAGCTGTTCAAAATTGGAAGCTTATTGGGGACATCTGGCGGTAGCTATCGGCATTCGTTCTTGAACCTAACGCGCAAGCTGCTAAAACAGTCGCAGGAGGAGACACTGAGGGATTTCAGGCGAGGGGAGAAGAATCTTATCATCTCGACATCGGTTGCCGAGGAGGGCATTGATGTCCAGGCGTGTGGATGTGTTATACGCTGGGACCCGCCACCGAACATGGTGTCCTGGTTGCAAAGCCGAGGAAGGGCGCGTCAGAAGCGTAGCACGTTCATTGTCATGTTCCAACGAGGCGGATCAGGTGAGGATGAGGTTCTGAAGTGGGAGAGCACGGAAGCGGAGGTGCTACGCCTATGCAATGAACCAGAGAGAGTCATGACGGCTGAACCTGATGAACGGGAGGAGAGGGAGGAATTTAGGGTACCGTCAACAGGGTAAGGGTTTATGCATATTTCCGGCATCTGTTGCTCATGTCGCCGTTTGTCAGTGCTCTACTGACTCTGGAGTCGGCTCTTCCTCATCTGGCCCATTTCGTAGCTGTTCATCCGAATGCAAGTTTCAGTACTGATTTTCAGCCTTTATATGACCTGGATCCACCTGATCTACCGTTCGGACGGCATTCATTTGAGAATCGGTCTACCAGTGTCAGCCCTTACTCCGGACCTTGGGGTTCGACGGTAACATTGCCTAGATTCCTGAGCTCCGAGCTCAGGGTACACTCAACGGATAAAATTCATCCCACCAAACTGTCCGCACATCGGCATGCGGCTTTCAAGGCATACAAAGCGTTGTATGACAACGAATTACTGGATGACCATTTCTTGCCGCTCTTCTTCCGAGACGATGAGATCAAGAAGCTAGAAAGCGAGGTGGAGAAACGTGTTAGTGTGGTCAGCGTGTCGCCGCAGATGAACCCATGGGCACCGGCGGATGATCGTAGCGCTGTTTGGTATTGCTCGGAATTGACACTGGGAGAGCTTCCCCCTTTGCGTATGTTCACGCGTACACAGTGCCCGTCGTCATGGTTCGAAGACGACGGTCCTCCACCACTCTTTGCTCCTCGTCATGGTCTCATCAAGGTCGTTCTCCGTGATACTGGCCAAGTTGCCCTCGATGACGAAGACATCGCTCGAGCGCGCGAATATACTCGGCGAATATTCTGGAGCATACATGGTCAACGGATGACTTGGGATGACCTAGACTTTTCATATCTTTTCCTTCCTGCTCCGGGGACGGAAGATGATGAATGGGAGGATCGCCGGACATGGCTGAAAGAGGAAAATGAGCGCGAAGGGCGCTCTAACAAATACGCGTTTGATGCGAACGCACAGGATTTTGGGGAGGCCTTTTGGTACCCTCAGGACCTCGCTATTGTGAGAGTAGGATTCCAATTTGGGAAACAGAAACCGTATAGATTCATCGCTTGGCGGTATGACACTGTCAACGAGGAAGAGTTGGAGGATATGAGGACACGGTATTTGCGACAGGATGATCTGGAAGATATACCGTACCCTCTCATCGAGGCTGAGGTTTTGCCAGCAAGGAGTAATTCCTTGTTGCCTATCACACCTGTCACAGATGGACCTCCATCACCACCGAAGAAGGTCCTGCTGATTCCGAATTACAGTGCAGTCACGCTTATCTCTCCGGTAGAGGCTGAATATGTGTTCTTACTGCCTTCGGTCCTGCGTGCGCTAGCTATGTCACTTACTGTTCAGTCCATGCGGGATAGGATGTTCACTCCATCGTCTCATCTTTACGCCATTTCACCGCAGCTGTTGACTGTCGCTATGACAGCCCCATCGTCTCAAGAACGTTACAATTATGAGCGCTTGGAGACGCTAGGAGATACGGTGCTGAAGTACCTGGTCAGCATACAGCTTCTATCGCAACACCCACTGTGGCACGAAGGATACCTGTCGAGGCGGAAGGACCATGCCGTTGCGAACGTTAGACTGGCAAATGAAAACATATCTAGAGAAATGTTCAGATGGATTATCCGAGGTTGGTTCGAAGCCATATGACAGTCTGCTATATTGACCCGTTTACGTTTAGATCTGTTCCTTAGCAAGAAGTGGAAGCCAGCATATATGCATTCCAACACAACTATCCGCGAGAATCAAGTAGCTGAGGTTGTTGCGACCGTTCCCACGAAGAACGAGGCCAAGAAAAAGCGGGCAAAAAAGGTTGCGGGAGCGCTCTCCACGAAAGGTATGGACATTGTGCCGTGTAGCTTCATGCTTTAATCTGTAATTCATGTTATTCAGTACTGGCGGATGTTGTCGAATCCACGATTGGCGCTGCGTATATGCATGGAGGGTTCGAACTGGGCTATGAATGTGCCAAGTTCTTCTGTCTAGACCTTACCTGGCAACCAACTGCGGAGTGCATCTCGTCCTTGATTGAAAGGGTCAGTGTAACCGAGCCCGAAGTCAGAAAGCGCATCGACTTGCCGGAGAAGGTCATGTCCCAAGTGGAATCCATGCTGGGCTACGAGTTTAGACACAAGCTCATCCTTCTCGAAGCCCTCACACACCCGAGTCATCAGCAGGACTTCGGCACGATCTCTTATGAACGTATGGAATTCATCGGTGACGCCGTCATGGACATGGTGGTCACGGATTATCTATATCGTGCAGAAGGCAAGCAGTACAGTCCTGGGCATATGCACCTTCGGAAATCGGCTGTCGTGAACGAGCATATTCTGGCCTACCTATGCTTGAAGTGTTCTGTGAAGGTTTGCAGCTATATGCCTCGGCCCACAGAATCGAGGGCTCAGATCCAGCTAGAAGAAGAAGAGGAGGACATATATCTGTGGAAGTGCCTGTTGCATGCCAGTCCTCGTGTTCTCGAGGATCAGCGTGTCACGTTTGACAGGTTTCAGAGGCTTTCGGATGCGATTGCTGACGGTTTGGAGAATGGGATGATCTATCCTTGGACAGCGCTGACTCGTCTGCAAGCGCCCAAATTCTTCAGTGACATGATCGAGAGTCTCCTCGGCGCCGTATTCCTTGACTCGGAGGGGAACCTAGAGAGGACGCGGGATGTTATGCGAACGATTGGTATCTTGCCGATACTGGAGCATATCGTCAAGGACAGCGTTGATGTGCTTCATCCTGTTTCGCGACTATCGGTCTGGGCTTCACGACGAGGACAGAAAGTGAAGTATAAGTTTACGGAAGAGAAGGGTAACATCAGTTGTGTGATCGAGCTGCATCAAGAGGAGGGAGGGGGTGTGAAGGTATTGGAGGAAGCACGGGCAACTGATGACCTTAACAGAGGCCGCGTCACAAAGGTGGAAGTTAGATTTGCAGCCGCTGAAAATGCTATACAACTGTTGCATCTATCCTAAAAAATATCTCCAGTTCTGCTGCATATAACATCTGCCTTTTCACGTTTCTCCGTCTCTTGTTGGTTCTACGGGTCAGCAACATGTTCTTTATCATCATAGAATCACAGATTCATACACCATAATTGTAAGTTGCAGCACACTTGCACCATATGCCTTCGTGGTTCTCCTGCATTGCGCTGCGATGAATATGTACAGCGGCAATTTCGTTCAGATAGTCATTGTACTCGAGTTGGTATACTTGTTGAAGCCGAGTCATCCCTTAACGCATCATCGAAACACCGATTGAGGGCGGGGAGGCTTCATGAAAATTATTCAAGTCACTCTGCACGAGCAAAGTGAGTCCTCACGACGAGCCCCAACAATCGATTGTCACATGAATACTATTATCATCATGTCTTCCAGTAATTGACGTACAAACCTTGCTTGCGTAGCGGTTCCCACATACCCGAAAGCTCGGGGTTCTGTGGCCTGTCCAAACAGGTTTCCCTCAACACTTCTGCATCATCTATCAAACACCGACGAGACGCCACCATAAAAAGAAGGGCTTCATATCCGCTTCTCTCATCTGCAAATGTTGACCTTCGTAAATCAAGGCACCTGAGCCACGGGACATAACGAAAAATCTGATCTGAGTCTGACCCAGTACTCGAGCCCAGTCTCTGCATTAAGATATCAGGAATTCGCAATGCATGGACGGATAATGTTTCTAGCTGCGTGAGGCTTGCTGGGAAGATGCAAAAAGCAACGACATCCTCGTCGTGGTTCAGTCGACAAGTCAACTCCAATGTCATGATATGAACAAGGTGGTGTTGAATGGGAAAGGATGAGGCTTCTGTCAGGAGCGACATGCGCAGTTTTCTGAGAGAAGGCAGAACAAGATTCTCGAGTATCTGTGCGACGACGCTACCAGGCATGTCATGAAAAAACTCATCAACATTAAGACTTTGTACATGGCCAGGCGTGACGGGACTGCGTATGTCCATATTATACTTTTTGCATAACAGGACAAGATCCTGGACATTCGGCAAATGCGTCAACGCAGATACTTGTTCACGGAAGGATCCATCGAAGGCTGAATAGGATTTCACGCTGGCGCCGGGGAATTGACTGAAAACGAGGAAAGACTGAGAGATGTCACTCGTGAACGTGCGAATGCTGTGTGCCATTGCGAAAGTGTCCAATCCCAGCTCCGTGGGGCCTATAAGGCTGACTTATAGCCGCTCCAACCGACCGAAGAATGATCCGTATAACGAACGGAACGATTTCGAAGGTAAGGAAAAGAAGGCGTCTGTCCACCGAGATGAGGTCGGTAGCAATGCCTGGAAGATAGTGTTGAGATTCGATTTTCACGGCTTTAATATCATATTCTATTTATATATATTTACTGCTTACCTTATACTTTGACATTTTCGTACCTATTGACTTGACTCACAACCCCCACTGTCCTTACTCTATACAACAAAATATACCCTTCCTTCGAGTCCAATACGCCTTCCTCTGAATCGCCAGCACCTAAGTTCCAACAGATAGGGTTTACGGATATATCCCACCAGCTCTGTAGATGGATTCAAAGGTGAAAAACACAACTCCTTTCAAGGAATAGCCCAAGCCTGAAGAGGCGCTTTGAGTGGAAATCCTGTGCTTTGCATAGGGAGCCAAAATCAATGTCGATGCAGGACTGTAAACCTGGTGAATCCAAAGCAACATCTCTTCACCTACAACAAACCTGTGCTAATGACCAAGGTGTTCATCGCACAGGGTTCAAGCAGTCAAAGCCCTCTCAGGGCCCGAAGGAATAATCATCATTGTCAGAATTGCCATTCTGATTGGCCAAACACTGCTGAAATATCTTCGTAAGGCAATCCGAGTTAAGGATATGGTATTGACAAAGAATTTTGGTGGTATCAGCTGTGTTGGACTCGGCGATGCTTCTCTGATCCTTCAAAAAATCCAACAGATGCTGGGTAGTCTCTATTTTGCTCTGCAATACCTTTGTCATGTCCTGGCTGGCTTTCAGGGAGCACATGAACTCCCTTCTTTCTGAGTCAAGTGGACCATTGTTGGATCAAAGGAGCAAGGAGATGTGAGGAGATTCCATCTGTTGCAATATATGCTCAGGAAGAGAAGGGACAAGCCCTGGATCAAAGTTGGAGGAGTCAGTTGGAACAGAAAACATGACTACTGAAAACAATAGTAAACTGACTGAAAGCTGGTATCAAGAAAATACCCTCATGTTTGAGTCTTTTCATCACTCTTATGGCAATCATGAACTCTTCAATGCAATCTCCAGCCATATCATTATGAACTTCAAATATCAGAAGAATGACTAGCACAAGTGAATAGAGAGATGCAGACTCTACAAGCATTCTTATCACCCTGTGGTACAAACACACCCTTGCAATAAGACCACCCACTCTCAGAATACAATAAACAATGAGAATTGTGTATCATAACAAGGTGGTCAATGTAAGCAAGGAGTATAACACAGCCCAGTTGACAATGTCCTGAAGATAGAGAGCTCAAGATGGTCTTGAGTAGCTTTTGCTGCTAAGTTACTTTGTGTCAAATAGAATTGAAGTCTTAATTGAACTTTGGATTTCAGCATAATTTGGGTTCTGGCTTAATAAGAGTTTTGGCATCAGAATACAAGTACTTCAGTTTTGAGGACCACTAGTTAGCTACAAGTGCAGCTAGTGCAGTTTAAAATTGCATACAGATCCTGAAGCTCTGTAAACTCAGGTTGCTGCCTCTCCAGTTTGATAAGAGCCATGTCTTGATCCAGATGTACCTGAGCAATGCACTGGAGGACCCCATAGTTGATATCTCCAAGCTCCCTCAGCTCCTCCTATGAAATCTCAAACTTCCCCCAGATCTTCTTGGAAATGAAATTGACTGGGTACTTAGGCCTCTCATCTATGTAGTCATTGATGATATCTTCAAACTGGGCTCTGAGGTCATCCACCTTGTCCTCCAGCTGCTTCACCCACTCCAGAATCTCTCTCAATCATCCAACACCTCATTGGACCACACAGTGACACTCTCATTATTAGCCTTATTAAAAGCACAGTCAGCCTTCTTTGTCTTACACCACAGGCAAGCTGCCTATTGCTGTGGATAACACACCATGCTTCTGCCTTATAGCACTTGATGTAATGCCCTGCAGAAAACAAAGTCAACAAGCAGCAGGATTCCACAAATCACACATGAGAACACTGCCACTCCTCATCATCAGACTCCATCTTATAACACCCCTTCCACATCTTCAGCAGCCCTACAGACCTCCCACCTTCACTTCTGCTATCCACTATGCTGGCAGATTTTTTCTTCCTTATAGCCCTCAAAGCTGTCTGCCCTTTTTCTTTCTCCCCCCTCTTTCTCTATAATTCCTTGTGATCCTTTCTCTTCAATCTCTTGTCTCCACTTTCTGTTCCCTCATCTACTATCCCAGTCTCTCTCACCACCTCTTTTCATCTCTTTGCCTCTTCCATGGCCTCTGCTGCTGCCTTAGCCCTGGTCTCCTCTGCTCTTCTTTTCTCCTCTTCCCTTGCTCTTTCTGCAGCCTCAGCCTCAGCTTTTGCCTTTGTCTCAGCCTCTATCTAGGCCCTCTTCTCTGTGGCCTTCTTCATCTCTAGCTTCTGCTGTCTCATGGCAGATGCAGCCTCCTATTCCAACTTCTTCTCCTTCTGTCATACCTCCATGGTCTGCTAGTAGTCCTTTTCAGCTGTATCATGATTCAGATAAAACTGTTTGAAGACAGCAGTGTTGATATCATCAGATGTCAGAAGGTGCACATATAGTTTGAACATCATGAAAATATGATATGATAATATAACTAGCAAAGCAGGATGGTGGCAGTAAGAGGTCAAGATGTAGAAACCTTATATAATCACACCCAAATTCCACATGGCCTTGCTCAGCTATCAGAATCTGTGCTCTTGAGAGTAAGAACACTAAGAAAAAGATACTATCACACACATGCCATGGACCTCTCATTGCCAATCTAACTTAATAGTTTTCACATGATAAAGGAATACTGAGTATTTCTCTTTTTCTCCAAGTTCATTCTGCATAATCCTGCAGCATACTAATGTTTCATTCCTTATTTCAAACTATATTTTATTTTCAATCTAATTTTAAAATAGTAGTGAAAAGATTACCCATCAGAATTCATCAGACTCTGACTCAGACTAGCTACTTAGTATATAAGCTGTAGAAAATCTTATACTATCTTAGTTCAAATATCAACTTGATTCAGCACAATAACTCTTGACTCTTCAGTCAATACCCTCATCTGTGAATCCCTCACTCTATTCAACTTCTCTTCTCCCTTTGTCTACTCTACAGACTTCCATCTGCATCTCTTATTGGAGTGTCAGCTCAGAGATGATATTGCTAATAGCTTCATCTAGGCCTATGCACTTCATGCATCCTGCTACATGCATTCTTCTCTCCTCTATTAGCATGTTTCTAACAGTTTGACATTGGAAGTATTACTATATCACATCCTATGATACAAGGGTTCTCAGATAATCAGCATTGAATATGAATATATACTGCTGCTCTCACTCAATAGAGTATGTCTCAGGTCATCTCTACTGTGTTTTGAGCAACAGTGCTTGTGTGTCTTTCAGTTAGAGATATATACATTCTGGCATAGGATTGTGTGACAAGTTGAAGAATCATAATATTATACATTCATATCAAGAATGAATAAATCTAATAGGACATACATCCAGGTCTGCATCAGAGCTGCACATTGAAAGAGGGAGGGAGAAACTCATTTTCAGAATATATCATCCTACCTCTCAAATTAGAGAATTCAAGCATTCTCTATAGCTAGAATGCTCATCTGGCCCATCTTATCTAGAAATAGCTGGAGTGAATTGACATGATGAAACACAGAAGAAGAATGATGTGGCTGTGCCAAAGACTGACTCTTCAGATTTCTCATATCCTTTCATCTCCAGCACTAGTTTTTCATCTACAGGTTCCATATAACAGTCAGCTTCACCACATAACACAATACATAATCTATTCTTTTCATTATAAGATCAGTTATTCACCTCATTTTCATCAGCACCATACAAGTGAGAACTCTGAGGAAGTGGATGACAGTGAAAAACTGTTGGGAGCAAGCATCAGGATTCAGGAACAAGTTTCTCATCTTGTGCTTGTACAGTCTAGTATCCATCAATCTACCATTTTCTCAGATGGTGAGATGGCTCATTATTGGTGTGATTTCTCTCTATCACTAAAGATTCCAATTGTAAGACACTGGGCAAAAGTGAAAACCAAACAAGGCTATATCAAAATCCAAAGGTATTTGGGGGTGAGTACTCATAACTCATAGTTCTACAATAGATGTTTAATTTTTCTCTTGCTCATGAATACAGCCAAAAGAGATCAAGTTCATACCAAATTTACACAGGGATTTGAACCCATATGTAGCAATGTTAACTGCTCCATCATATCTGAACACACACTGTAGATACTATTGAGACTATGTTTCATCAATGGACCTGTCTTGTGTTATCCAATTGCAACTGACACATGATTCTACATAGAGGAAGAACTGACTTTGATGTCTATGCCTGGGGAATTTGAACAAGAACAGAAAAGTGTTGGGTCAATGACATGGGATCTCCAATCACTGGCTATGACAGTGAGTACTTCACCATGGAAAAAGCAGAAACCTTCCACACTCACCATACAGACATCCATCTTGTGGAACATGATGATGTTGTGCAAATTCTGAGTGATAGTAGCCAGTAGACACAAAGCTGTGCTGAAGGAATGGCTGTAAAAGTAGCCCAATCAGAAAGCATAAAGAGCATAGATTGGGTGAAACCACTATGTCTGGCTCATTGCTATAGACTTTAGATGGTAGAAATGAAAGCAATGGTACACATGTCATGTAAAGCTGGGGTCATTTGAGAATTCCCTGGTGTCTGCTCAAGACAAGAGGGGCAGATGTGGCTTGGGTAGCCAGAATGCTTTGCATGGATATACAGTGAATGCTATGGGATGAATCACTTCCAGTGCTATTACAGAGGCCAAGTTTTGTGATTAGTGCCTCCAGCACTATAGGAAGCAAAAATAGAACTAACAAGTTAAAGCAAGCGATTGGTAGCTCAAACTTCCTAAAAAGCAAGGGAAAGGAACTCTGCTGCCACAGAAGTTTACCGGATGATCGGTCCATGATTTCACAGCTGCGAGAAACCTTCGGCAATTACCATGATGTTTAATTCCCATAATATCCAGTGCTCTAGGCCACTAATCCATCTGGTCCCAGAGCCTCTGAAGGGGAATACAGAAATGTGGATTATTGTTAATTCCCGCCACACTACAACTTTCTCTCCATTTGTTGCTTGCCCCGTCACCCTGATTGTTTTTTTTTTGATACACGTAGAATACAGGTGTACAACCGCCTTTATCGAGCCTGGACGTCATCGAAAATCATCTCATTACCGCTGGCATGTTCATGATGATTGACAGCGCTAAATTTGTGAAACATGTCGTCAAGTCGACATCGCTGATGTGCGTACCTTATCCATTCAGCGCAATATGATCTTGGAGAAACACTCATCTATAAAACGCGCACAGGTGAGCCAGCATCTCTCAGAGCTCCTCGACATCCATCACTCTGGGAACAGCTTCTCCTCATCAGGTTATTCCGAGTCCTTGATCTCTGAACTATGGAGGCGCTGTGTAGGGGGGAAATATCATCCTGATTGCATACCCATATTTCTAGGTTTCGAGCGGTGAAACCCGTGGATTCTACGAGTTGGAGGTAAGAGCTTTGCGGTCACCTTGCCAGCTTGGCTGATCATGTATATGAGTAGTAGGTTCCAGCACCTTGTATTGTAGGATGTTGGAAGGACCTCTTCATCGAAATGTCAGTCACAAGCCAGTGATATTCCGCCGCGAAACGTTATTTATCTTAAACTCCCTAGTTTGCTACCAGGTATCAGTATGTTCACCACGCATTCTAGTTTGAAACACCGCGTGCTGTATTCGCTCTGTCCTGGGACCGTTATCTTGTCCATGCCCATTCCTTATATATCTGTCCAGTTCAAATGTACTGGCTACCGCACTTTTCTCCATCATCCGATGCCATTAACTTTATGGAAAGAGCCAATAGCAGATGATACGTCCGTGGGGATTTCCGATGTCAATGATACAGCAAGAGAGAAAGCTACCAGCTGTAAGTCCTTCTAGTACTATCAAGGCAGAGCACAAGGGAATAATACTTTTCTTCAAAGGTTGGAGTGACCATCTCGTCATGTGGACATCTATTGGAGTGCTATGCTCATTTCTGACCACACTGTTACTGACGATCTTGATCGTCGTCAAATTCGCGCCTAGCATGCTGCACGGTTCAGCTATTATCCAAGCTGGGCGACATAGCCAGTACATCCACTTTGACTCTGTTTTTCTGAACAATAACCACGACCGGAATGCTTCGCATCATACTTCCATCGTGAATTTCCCCGACATCGTGCCACAGGTAGAAACATACAGCCCTGGTCACCTGGTGCAAGAGTGGCCCACCGAGCTCGGTACCGTATTTCCTGATCATCGATATGTTGTGTCTTCGGACGTCAGCATTGGCTACTCCCTCTATCAGCAACTTGCCAAGTTTCTCTCTAGACATCAACGGTGCTCCAGTTCTACCACTTGGACTACGGGATGCAGTATTGCTCTTTGGCGTTATCCATCCCTCCGCCTAGCGATGGGTTTGACCTGGAGGTAAAGATAGAGAACAACACAGTCATGGAACTGGTCAGACCGGCTCATACACGTATCTTCTGGACAAGTCGCGCCGGAGAGAAAATCCCAGGTGGCCAGCATACCTATCCACTTTGGGGAGCCTTTCGGGACGGAGAGATTCTGTTGTCCTTCGGGTGAATTTTCGCTGTTCGAGCTGGCATGCCATTCACCATCGGCCAGCACGCGCTCTTGCCACGTTGAGCTTTGGGAAAATGGGGAAATTTCACCATCTGCTGGTGAGGACTCGGATGGTTTTTCACCCGATGCTGAGACTAATTAAAGCTGTCTAGGGGTGTATGTCGTGCAGGAGTGCAGTCTGAGGGAAGGAGAGGTGTAAGATGACATAGCCCATTGTCTATGCTGGTTATATATGACATACGATTTTTTTCAATGGGCAGTAAGCGTCAGAATAGTGCGAAAATGGACTCTGGAAATTTGAAGTTGAACGCGTGGCAAAATGCTTGGGTACAGGTACGCCCATAGCGTTTGTCTCAATTGACGATCGATGATCTATTCGGAAGTTTGCCTTCGTTCTGATCAGTAAGTATTATTCATCTTGATCACACCGCTGACAGATCTCGGAGGGTATCAGACTCACAGATTCGTCATGCAATCAACAATACTTATAATGTTATCTAAAGGCTCGCTCGTCGTCTTCTCATAGCGAGGAACTGGCCAGGCTACTACACCGGATAGCGTGGATAGCCATTGCTGTCGTCAGACCTCGATTCCCAATACTGAGACCCGAAGACCCATATTTGTATATCAAACCAGCGTCCCATCCTCCGTCTTCGCATTGGAAAGCTCTAAGAGTCTGGAGATCGATACTGTTTCTCACTCCCGTGAAATGACAAACGACGAGGCGCATGGCCAAGGCAAGTCCATCTCCTGCTGCACCAATTCGTTCCGTAATTCTTTCTTTCAGGAGCGGATAGAAGCGGGTGTGGACAACTGGATCATCGCAGCCGCTGATAAATCGATAGAGGAAGAAGAGGAAGCATTCTGCTGTCTCGTAGTAGCGCGACCCTTGGACATAGGCCCGATGAAGAAGAACCTCGTGCACCCATCGGAAAGTCTGGCTTATCTCATTTCCTCGACCATAGGAATAGAATAGGTGAAGAACGTTCACGCAGACGACAGGGTCAATTCGCGGCCTGTCGTGATCAAAGTATGTCTAACCAGAGACAGTGAGACGCGCGGGTTGATCCAAGCTCAAGTAAACTTACCTGTATGATGCCGTCTTCATTGATATAATTTAACATCTCATCCATTATAGACGCCGCCACTTTCACTCTTGCTCGGATCACCGTAAGGCCGAGTGAAGTGGTGTCTAAATCGCAAGGAAACTTGGCTGTGGTAAGTTGACTATCCCCTTTGATTACCATCAGTTGGGTTGACACCGAACCCATCAGCCTAACTTGCCTCGGAAAAAGTTCCACTTTCCCTCCTTTTCAACTATACCCAACTCAATCAACGACCTGTCACGCTGTCAGCCCATAACATTCGAAATGCATGTAGCTCTGGCCCTTACCGGTCCTTAGTCATTTCCAGAATGAGTAACTGAGTGAAGTTCTCCTGTATAGCGATTCCACTGCACATCGAAGCAAGATGTCCTGCGTTCTTCTTCAAAAATCTTTGGCCTCTGAGAATCGGATCGCCGAATAAACTGAGCAGCGATTGCTTTAGCTCCTTGGATTCGCGATACATGAGGCCATGCAATCCCTGAGAGCGTGCGGAAAGTACGTTTTCGAGCCGGTCGTCTATAAATATGGTTCGGGAGGGATCCAGGCTCGCCTGGGACAGCGCGTACCGATAAAATTTAAGTTCGGGTTTACGTGTTCCTGCTGCAAAGGACGTGAAGATGCCATCGAATATCGACCAATCCATATCCACAGTGATACTCCGAAGGGCATCATAGTCCGGCTGTGATATGTTTGACATGGCAAAGATGCGCAACCCCCCCTCTGTCGTATCTTTGAGTTCCCGAAAGAAACTCACGAGATCGAGGTTGCAACGCAACGAGGCACAGGACCCTTCGATTCCTTTGCGGATGTCCATCGGGCTGGTGGATAATTCTCGTCCAATGTTATCGTAGCACGTCTGCTGGGAGATTCGGCCCTTCTCGTACTCGAACCATGTCGATGAGGAGAGGACTCGGCGAAGGGTATTCAGGGGAAGGATCTGATTGGGTGGGGGAGACCATGTGAAGAGAACGTCCCCCAGATCGCAAATTATGGCGTTGTATCGTGCCATTGCCGCTCTGTATTCTTCGAATCAAGTTGAGGCTGCTTATATACTGCCATATTTGTCTGGAAGGAGAACTCGTTCGGCGCAAAATTGTCTCCGCATGCTGTCTTGATCTTGCTACACATATTCCCATGAACAAAAGTACCGCCATTTGCCACAGGCCCTCTTGCTCATCAGGAGGAATTTCAACGGAGGGGAAAAGACAACTGCTATATACAGAAAGCCCAAATTGACCATCATCGCCGACGCGGCCGACGTTACAGCGCTCTCTGCTGCTCTTGCTCCCATTCTAACTCGACTACTACTTTCTCTACTACAGCATTATTTCCGATTACTACCACGCTGCTCTACAGTGAAATTATTAAAAAGCCCGACTACAGGCTGATTCCCTGCCTGATTTCTCCCTTTGTGATCTTCAACTGCATGTGCTTTGCACTAATTTTAATCTCTGTGCTCCTCAAGACTGGGGAGCATTGACCTACTTCTTGAAAACTTTCTCCGTGGTGGGTGGCGACTGTCCCCCGATTGACTGCCTGCGAAATCCAATGAGGCTGAGTCGGCATTTGAATTGTATAATAGTACTTCAGACATTAGCGCAACCCTGGATGGACTGCAGGGTATAATTCTACCTATCTACCCAATACAACACATTGAATGTATAGGGAAAAGTAAATCTCTTCAGGGCACTGGTTGGACGTGATAGACCCCTGGTTGATCCATGGACACGACTACCTCAGGCTTGTCGTCCTGAAGGGGAATGGGAACAACGTCTTCTGATGGTACCTCTTCGGAGAACTCTGTCTCGTCCGGATCTTGAGATGAGTTCTGCGCGAATTGTATCTTTCCTACAGTAACGGCTTCTACGTCTCCGCGCCGAAGCGCTCCACGACGGCAATCCGAGGGGTAGGTTGAGACGGTAAGATTAGCCGTCATATTTTTATTAACAGCGATGACGATCAATGTTGGGACGATACCCTATAAAATGCGAAATCAGAACAGAGAGAAGGTAACTAGTAATATGCGTACATACCGTTATCTGCGGCATACAGTCAAAAGGAATGTACATCGCGTTGAGACCATTTAAGCCATCGCCCGGCGCGTGTTTGTATAGACCAAACTCGAACGCTTTTGTGATAGTAACGAGGGCACCGGACTCAATGATCACCAAAAGGAGAGTTTGGTATCTCTTGATAGCTTTGGAGGTCGTCGAGCGTGCTATCCACCTGTATTATATCAGCGCTTGTCCAACCGCGCCCTAGGATTTTGCTCACCAGATTCTAAACGCAGTCAGGAGGGTCACGATGATATTCGTGCATAGAGAAGTAATGAACATTGTAGTTCCCCAACGGGTGACTTCCTTAATGTTGGCTGTTTCCAGGACAAAATAATGCCCTATGGCGCCGTATCCTGATACTGATAAGGTTAGTCTGATGTCGAATTCCTGACTATATGAACTTACGCGCCGTGCCGAAGACTAAGAGAACGGGAAGTATGATAGCAGGGATGTTCTTGTTCCACACAATAAAGCATCGCCAGACAATAACCATATCCCCGATACAAGTCTACGAGAAAGGATGCATTCAGCGCTCGATTTCAGTGGCCTCGGCAGAGCACATACGCTCGTAATGTATATGAGGTCCTTTGCCTTGTTGATTCCAGCCCCAATGTCCGCAAGATAACGCTGTGATCCGACGTCGTCAGCATGCACAATGAAAGCATCTATCAGTCTACGGATGCTGAGCGCTGCATGTGCAGTAGCCAGACAATATCTACGCAAACCTCATTAAACGATAAGACAGATGCATAGGTTGAGGCTCACTCACAAGACGACGATTGCGGAAGTTACGACTTTGTTCGGTGGGCGTGATTTGCGGATTGAGATGATTGTATAGAATGCATAGGCAGCAAGGACAGTGAAGCAACCTGTTTCCAGATCAATAGCTGGAAGAAGATACGGGGTAACTGCGCATACCCCAAAGAAATGATGCAACCCAGGCCGATATCAAGTACGCCTCGTCGATTCTGAATATTATTTGGGAGCGGCGATGAATCGACATGATTGTCGGGGCACAGAATAAAGTAAAACAATGGATGAAAGTCTTATTTATCACCATTATAGCATACCCTATAAATACATTCACATCAAGTGGAGCCTTCCATCACAATGAGTCCAGGGGTAATCGACTAATATCATTCAAAGTTCCCATCAATTTGTAGGCGTTTGAGGTTAAGATGTAGCTGGGCTAGACCTTGATTTACGATCAACAACGTCCACGGAGCCGGGGGAACATGTATCACCCGAAATCAAGCATCTTTCACTTGATCCTCCAGCCAATCCCACAGCCGCTTCCCCGTCTGAATGTCCTGAGAAGCAGGACTTGGCTTCGAGGGACGCGCCCAGGGAACAAAGTACTAATTTGGACCCCCATCATTAATCGATCGGGGTGTCAGTGTTATTCTAGGAACAAGCGCTTACCTTTCCGTTGAACGTCGCACCTTCCACACATGTTCCTACGTACAGCTGCGTTAAAGCGCCGTATGGGGCCGGGTATAGAATGCGAGACTAGCGAGAATGAATTGAGTGGAGGAGAGGCGGAGCTGTACTATCACGTACGATCATGAAGCGTTTCATTCCCCGAAGGGTTCGTTGAAGTTCCGTTGCAAGGTTACCTGTTCCACGTTTTGATTTATTGCATGGTACACGGAAGAGAAATCAAACCTGGATTCACAGAAGAAGAAACAATCTGTTCTCCGTATCTACGCGAGAATTCGGTGGAGTACACCAGATTGGCCTGTAGGACACATCAGGTGATATTTTACAGCACATGAACAGACGCACGAATTTGCTTTGATAATACAGAGGTACTGTGCCCAGTTTCTTTCGAGCAGGGCTATCTCTGAAGGCTTCATAATCAAGTTTGCTAGCCAGCTCAGTTGCGAACGATGCAGTGTTTACAACCCGGGCTTTGATCAGTCCATCAGAGTTCTGCGCCACCGCTAGTAGTGCCGGAAGAAGAAGCTTCGTAAAGTAGAAATGGCCTGTGATGTAGATATCCTCAAGGCTGGGAAGTCGACCATGTAAGAATACTGAAGCTACGCACCGAGTACATTGACTCCGATGGTGAGATCGTATCCTTCATTAGTTAATTCGGCGATGTCAGGTTCCATAACCCCTCTGAGATGCTGTTAGCTTCCCATCGAATCTCCAGGGAAAATATCAAAATACGCATTGTTGAAAAGGATGTGGAGTTCCTTTTCTTTGCTACAGGATTGTTGCTTTGATAAGTATCTTGAGGTTTTAGATTTCGCTAGAACGAACCTTAAAAAGTTATTGGCGGCAGCTTGAATGGATTTGAAACTTGCTAAATCCAGAGGCAAGTAAATAGCGTCTTTTCCAGTGGCTTCACGAAGCTTTTCTATAGCGACGTTGGTTTTCGTTTCATTCCTACAAGCCAAGTAAACTTTGGCGTTGCGCGGCAAAATGGCCTGTGAATAAAACGATCAGTCGTCGTCAAGGAGTACATCACAAGATAAATCACTTTCGCCGTCTCAAATCCAACACCCGTGTTCCCTCCCGTCACGATGACCACCTTCCCAGAAAGGTCAGGAATGTCATCAACCGAGAATTTTGGTTTTGGGGGCCATGTCTGCGAGACGAATGACTGCACAACACCCATATCTGGATGTCAACGAAGTAAGAGGAAAAGGCAGGGCGCCTATATGCTGACGGCGAGAAGATGTCAGGCCAGAACCATGCCTTTCCCATGCTTTATTCCCACCAGTGAAAGAAGCGGCGACTTTACCGGAGCCGACGCCGAACTCAGTTCGGGCCTATTTTGGTGTGCTAGCCACTAGTGAGAACTTCGCTTTCAACCATATGGCCTCACTTTCAACCATTGATTTTTTGTGTTTTGCTGATCTCACACCTCATGCTCTCAGTATTCAAGCTTCAAAGCCCAGCGTATGTTTTATGTGTATCAAGATCTTGTACGCGAAGCCGAGGGCCGATAGCGGAGATATCATTGTTCTTTCTGTCCCTGCGCCGGCCTGGCCACATCTTCATCTAAAATTATCACCGTCTTCCCCGTGTTCTCACCCTTTAGCATATTGGCGAAGGCTAGGGAAGTGCTTTCCAGTCCCTTGTATTCATGAAAGACGTACTTGATGGCGCCGGAAGCCAGATAGCGAGGAATTGTGTCGAAGAATTCCTTTTCGTATTTTGGGGCCCAATCAGTCATTACCATCCCTTCCATCCTGCAAGTGCAAAATATATAGAGTTTAGCAGTGTACCAGGAATATGATACGCGCCTTATTCTATAGCGGCTTAGCAGCCAGAGGTTCTGTTCGTAGATTCTTAGAAATGCGTAGGACAAAACGTGAGAAATCCAATACCCGAACACCGTATGAGTCTGACAACTTGGAGTTGTACTGGCTCACCATCCCACAAATGACGAAACGCGCATGCATATTGGCATTTTCGATGGCAGCTTCGAGAGTAGGGCCCCCTACGTTGTCGAAATAGATATCAATTGGTCCGTGTCTTCGCAGCTCTTCCGAAATATTAGAAGACCGATAATTGAAAGCATGATCGGCCCCTAGGCGTAAGGCGAGTGCAACCTTCTCATCACTACCACACGAGGCAATGACCTTGAGCTTTTGAAGCTTTGCTATTTGTATTACCAGACTTTCCGTGGTTCAGAGTAAGTGCGTGCGTGTGTGTACGAATTGAAAGAATGAGCTTACTGGCCGACTGCACCGGACGCAGCAGAAACGAATAGAGTTTGACCCTAGAAGTATTCCGTCAGAATCAGATAAACTCTCGGAAATAAAACGCCTTACGGATATAGGTGATGCGAGATCTTTCAACCCATAGTAAGCCGTCTGTCCAGACATACCTAGGGCGCCAACGAAGTAATGCCACGGGAGTCCGTAGGGATTGCTGAGGACTTTCAGGCCAAGTCCTGACATTTCCAAGGACATAGCAGTCGTAGTCGGAAAGACGACAAACTTCTTGAAGGCTATCTCTCTATGAGAACATTAATTCGTGAACCGCGAGTGGAATAATATACGCATGAATCCATATATATGGCCCCCAGCTTCAATCCCGTCCCCCTCAGACCTTAAAATGCGGCCGACACCAAAGCCTGTGACACTGAGAGCATAGGCGGCTAAGTCATCATAATAGAAACGGTAGTGTAAGACTCACGTATCATTCATACCGAACGCGGGCATATCTCCAGGTTCTTCGATGGGCCTCATTCGATTACGCATGTATGGATCCAGGCTAAGCGCCAGTATTTCCACAAGGATCCCACCGTCGAGGTCGACTGTTTCAATGTCGATGTTCTCATCTTCCAGATAAGTGAACGTCTCCGCATCAGGTGGACCTTCTGGAATAGAACTAAATACGACTCTAGGATTGAGAATCTGAGGCATCTCCCAAATGTATGAAGTGAGTTAAGAGGAAATATTATGTCGTTTTCAGTGGTAAAGCCTGGTGTCCTGTAGACGTGAGAAAGAAAAAGGTAAGATCCAAATGCTGGTAGGAGCTCCCCGGGCTCCACGGAAATTAACCACGTCGCGCTAAGCTTGACAATTGTGCGATTCAAGTGCCACCGAAAGCATAAAGGGCGGGAAGAATCTGATGGTCATTTCGAGACTCGGCGGCCGGTATCAATCACCTTTTTCAAAGATACCACTCTCGGCATGTCTAAATTGGCGTGGTTTCGGTCCCTAGACCCCGGACCCCGGGTTATTCGGTCAACTCGGAAAGGAAGGGGGTGCTCTTCGGTGTGCACGCCGGTGCATGCATATTTACTTACTCTCATGTCATCTTTCAGTGTCTTAGTAGGAATTCTTGCAGCTACCCTTATACTTTCCAGATGGTGGTCGTGGTGGAGAGCACCTCCGTCGTTGGCTAAAGTCCCTGGACCACCAGCTCCGAGTTTATTCCTTGGCCACGCATTGGATCTTGACCGGGCGCCAATTGGTACTCGACATAATAAATGGGCTCGCGAATATGGGCCTACATACCGACTATCTGGTCCCTTCTGGGTAAGTATTCTGTTAGCTGCACGATGAGCGCTCACTCAAGATCGCGTTTTAGGAACCTCGACTCATCGTTGGAGACCCGAAAGGTCTCAATCATGTACTTCATAATCAGGACTTCGAGCGCAATTCGAGTGATAGGGTTGCGCTTGAGCTTTTCGTTCGTTCTTGCTTACGGGTTAATTTTCTTGTTCTTATCTTTCTCTGCGCTAGTTTGGTCGTGGTCTTTTCTGCGCCGAAGGTGGGTGGCTTTTGGGAATTTCGTGTTTGCTCTCACATTTGTACATAGGGGAAGAGCACAAGAAAATGCGCAAATATCTGAATGTACCATTCACGTACAGAACTTCGTCATCTCTCGCCTAATGGTGTCTAACTGATCTACAGAAACCAGTCGATTCAAGAAGTTTCCCATGTGTTCTTTGACCTGGTGGAACGAGTGAGCATAACCTCCAGAAGATCTGGATTTTTCACTAATCATCCATACTGCTAGCTCAAGGATAAATGGGAACAGAAATTGGAAGGCGGGAGCCTCGTTTTCGACGTGACCTCAGAAGTTCATCGACTTACGTACGACAATGCATCCATATTGCTCTTCGACTGCGGATACTGATCTGCGTTCTAACCAGATTGGACGCCATCAGTATGACAATGTTCATGTATGACATTAGTACCTCGAACAGTGATATTCCTACCCTACTTCACAAGATAACAGACTCTCCTGCTGGTAAACTATCAGATATCATCCTCTCTGCATTTGCCTCTCGGTTCCCTATTATTCTTCGCCTTCCTTCTCCGATGAAGCGTTGGTGTGACGATCTTCGTAGCTCCTTGGGAGCTGTTGCGAGGAATGTATTGTCGGGCAAGGGGGCCGCTGGAATGCATGCGAAACTGCTGAACTCTCTCTGTATGAGAATGATTTCTTCTTCTATTAACCATCAGCTCATTCATCGCCTTAGCGGAGAGCGAAGTTGCCCCGGATGTCGCTGTTGCGCAAGTGAGTGACTTTTCCGGTCCAAACGAAGCTTTAGTTTTGACTTCAAGACAGATTATTGGTATTCTCTTTGCCGGGTCAGAGACGACGGCCAATGTCATTACTGTATGACTGTCGTCCTGCCTTCCTGAACCTAACTTACCTGTGCTTGAAGGAATGCTTCTATGAAATGGCTCGCAATCCGAGGATTCAAACACGGCTGCGCACAGAATTGATAGAGTTCGAAGTTGCGCATGGGCGTAAACCCACTTACGAGGACCTCGCTAACTCATCACTTCCGTATCTCGAGGCTGTCACGCGGGAGACTATGAGGACCAAGGCTGTTCTGACAGAGATCAGTCGCGCTGTACGTATTTTCTTTTTGATTATCATACTGTTTCTCATCGCTCGACCGCTGTTCAGGCTGTGAAAGATACCGTCGTACCCCTTCAAATTCCCTTAAAAGGAACGAATATATACGAGATCGAAGTCCAAGCTGGAACGCTGATAGATATCCCTGTGCGAGATGGGATTAATCGTAACCCGTTGATATGGGGTGAAGATGCCGATGTTTTCAACCCGGATCGCTGGATTAAAGCCGATATGCTTCCCAAGGCCGTGGACTGGATACGAGCTCAAGGCCATGTGCTTACATTTGGCGATGGGTCAGCTCGTGTTTGGTGCTCTCACAATAGACTGACTTTATCTCTGTTACAGGCCAAAGGTTTGCCTGGGACGTTCATTTGGTGCGTCACTAACCATGTTCTCGACATTCGTTGTCTCAACTTTATGTGTAAAGCTCTGGTGGAATTCAAGACCGTGGTCTCTACGATTGTGCGTAACTTTACTTTCGCCGAAGTAGAGGGACTAGATCTCGACTTTTACCACGTTGGGGGAAACACCATCAAACCGATGGTTCGAGGTCGAGAACAGGAGGGCGCCCAGCTCCCACTCAGGGTTAGCGTTGTTTCGGATTGAATTTGTATACCAATTTGAATGTCTCGTTTTTACTACAAATTGATCGGCGTATCCGATTCAAAGGAATAAATACTACTTTGTAATGCGAACGAAATTGATGTACAGGTCATACGGAAGGTTTAAAGCAAACGCAGAAAAGCGATTCTTCAACTTCCCACTGGAATGAATCGATTCTTGTGGTGAATTCCACCGGTATTCCCGCAGGAGCATGCACGATAACGTGCGAAGTTCATAGAGTGCAAAATTACGCGCAGGGCACTGCCGCGGTCCCGCCCCAAAGGGCATCCATTTCCCATCGTCAGTGCTGTTGGCACTGATGAAGCGTTCTGGATTGAACGCACCCGGGTCTTTCCATGTCTGACTGTTATGCAAGACGGCGTGGATATTAAGGACGATTGGTATGCCTGCGGGCAAAGCATAACCACCAATGTGCAGGGTCTCGGAGGAGACTCGGGGAATGGTGACTGTCGACGGGCTATTCATACGCATAGATTCCCGAATGCATGCTTGCAGGAAAGGCATTTTATCGAAATCCGGGATGTTCGGGTCACTGTCGGGTCCTAGGACACTCAGAACTTCATCCCGAGCTCGAGCCTGGTATGTCGGGAAAAATGCAAAGTAAAAGATCAAGCTTGAAAGTGCGCCTGCAGTTGTATCCTAGTTAAAGGAATCAATAAACGTTGAACGAGTTCGCAGATATGGAAGCTTACATGGCCAGCCATAAAGAGGGTAACAATGCTATCTCGATATTCAGCTTCCGTCATGCCTGGAGTCTGAATCAAGTAGGTGATAAAGTCATTGCCAGGCCGTCCCCTTTTCTCTTCAAGGATCTCGAGGAAAAGTGAAACGAGGTTATCCATTCTCTGGACTACGTCTTTGCGCGGAAACCACCATTCGAGAGTCGGAAAAGCAACATATAATGGGCGAGATACGTCTTGCATTACGTGCCGGTAAATTTGGACGAAGGTGCTCTCCGGATGCTCAAGGGCGTTGAAATTATGGCCCATTACGGCGATTCCAACGGCGTCAAGTGTGATACGATGCGAAATGTCACTCCAGCAAAAGGATCCTCCCTGACCGAGCAGAGAGAAAAGAGTCCTGCCCAGGGCACAGAAAGTGTCGATCGGAACGTTGCCATGGAGCGATGCCCTTACAACAGAGGAGTGTTTCCGCCACTCGTCTCCTTCGACAAAGAAGATGTTATGTCGGCCGGTGAAACGCCAAAAGAGCATATCCTCATTAGGCTGCTCCTTGCGGATAGATTTATTTTCCATGAGTTCTTTGGCGAACTTGGCATGGCAATGTCAGTATGCAAACTGAAATAGCTAGTAGCACTTACCTTGTAATCTAGGACATGGACATACCAGGATCCAAGCGCCCATACGACAACTATCCCAGTGCGGCAGGACCGAGCAAAAGGTAGGATCACTTTCTGAATTCGAATATCCTCGCTTTCTCCTGATAGAAAGCTCAAGATCAGTGGGGGCAAAGGGACCTGGGGAATATGCCGCAAACGAGAGGGACAACGGAATAGACGGCTGTATAGATACAGGAGAATCGAGCAGGTAACGAGAGCGATGGAAATACTGATGCTGTGAGATTTCATGCTTTCTCTTTTGTACCGCAGCGATAAAATTCAAAGGATGGTGAAAGTATTAGGATACCGCGAAAAGAAGGCAGAAGTGATTCCAGAGCCCAGAGCAAGACGGGTTGCGGGACTGGCGACAAAGTTTGCTGCAGGAAATACATGTTGGGACAACCGTTTCCGTGTTTGGGATGGCGCAAGGGCACTTGCACGTGGTAGTACGGCTAGTACATATGCAGTCAAGGGGTGCAGGATGGCTATAAAAATAGCATCCATCAAAGCGCTCGAAGTCAAGTCGTGGGAAGGCAAAATTGTCTCGGTGATTACGGTCGATCCTGCGTTCAAACTTCGCCATCAGCACTGGGCGCCGGGCCTCGCACTTCCTGGATAGCTAACCGACGAGAATTTATTTATGGATTTGGGTCAATTGTATTTGAGCTGATTCCCGTACTCGTTACCGGTAGAACCAGTTGATCACCCTGAGAATCGTCAAGTTCACGACAACGTGGAAGCGGTTATGAATGTTCCACAAGAATTGGTTCGTCCCTCATAGTTGATGATAATTTAGTTTCCCGGGGCGCTAATGTTGGCTGATTCATTATCCATATATAATCTTCCTCGACGACCGTGTGATCCTGGGACAACCTTTTCCCTTTCTATTCAGATATGGCTTACTTGCCGGCGCCTGCTTCTTCTATGACTAACGTGTACATTGCTACGGAGTGTGGCATACGATGATGTGCTGAGATACATTTAAATCGCTTACAGCTGATAGTCTCTTCACATCTCTCTCGATGTATATCTGGATTATAATCGCAGCATTTATCCTGATATTGTGCTGCTATCGAATCACAGTTCCTCCTTCCCACTTGCGACATCTCCCCCGTGTCGCGACACTTCCTCTCCTTTGCAGTTATTTGACTGGAGAGTCTGAAGATCGTCGGATCAAGAGGCTCATCGTCCCATTTTCGAGGGACACCCATGAACATGTTGTTCTAGTGTGGGTCCTTGGCCGTTGGATGGTGCACATTTTGAATTTCGAAGTACGGCCAACTTCCTACACCTGTCCTTATACTATCGTTGATGCCAAGTAAACAGCTGGCTCGAGAAATGTGCGATAACACCGCTCTGTTTCCTAAAGAAACTCCGGACGACGCTTCTCTCTTATGGCGTTTCGTGGGTTCCGCCAGTCTCCTCATGTCCAATGGCAAGCAGTGGCAAAAACAGTCCGTCTTGATTAACGACGCATTCAGCACCAAAATCCCCGTCCAAGCATTCACATCCCTCGCTCATAATCTTTCCGCCATTGCGGGAAAGTGCCGCACTGTGCAATGGGATAAATATGCCCAACGTTTCGCCCTCGACGCGGTGGGTTCGACGGTCCTCGGGCACAACTTCGACGCTATCGAAACGGACAATCCATTTGTCCAAGAGTATAATGCTGTCATGGCCGCTATTGCCGATCCTATATACCTTATCTTCCCATGGATGGAGCGTACCTTTCCTAGGAAGAAGCTCATCCGTCGGATTGATACCTTGGTCGAGAGGTTCATGCGGCTCTTAACTGACAAGAAGAACAATCCGGGAGACGACATGATGACTTTTATGCTCAAGGACCCCGCCATGTCGCACAAGGAGCTCCGTGATAACATGATCGTGTTATTCATCGGCGGACACGTAAGCCTAGTCGTTACTTGCACTTGATGGCATTGAATTCACTTCCATCCGTTATCAGGATACGGCCGCCGGTGCGATATCGACATTGTTCTATTTTCTTGCATGCCATCCTGACATGCAGCGGCGGGCGCGGGAGGAAATCATGGAAGTACTGGGCGACGATCTTGACCCAACCGTCGAACAACTCTCCGGGATATCACTGCCGTATCTCACTGCTTGTATTCGCGAAGCCATGCGTATCAATACCCCGATTTCCTACATCGTTCCTCGTCAGTCGAATCGACCTGTCCGGCTCGGAAAATACTTCGTTCCCGCACGTACCTCACTAATAGTGAATATCTACGCCATTCATCATGACGAAGAACGCTGGAAATCTCCCGATGCTTTTATCCCAGAAAGATTTTTGGAACAAGGATGGCAGAAATCCGGATGGCTTCCGTTCGCTCTGGGGCCACGGCAGTGCCCAGCAAGGAATTTTGCCATGTACGAGCAAAGAACATTGGCAGCCACGTTTCTGCGGGAGTACGAGTGGTCTTTACCTGAGCACTCTATCCATAAGGATTCGTTGAAGAACGCGTTCTCTCCCTTTGCTCTGACCTTACCCCACGACTTGGATCTGACGTTTAGGCAGATTTCAAAGGGAGAGAGAAAAATTGTCGGCGTTCCCAAATGGAAGTAAAATTGGCATCAGTTTGAGGGCAGGAGTTCTTAGTTGGTGTTCAGTTTTTGGCTAAAAAATGATGACATTTACATGCGACTACCTCATGTTTGGGATTAACATAGAAAGGTCGCTCTTGTGGGAACACAATTGAACGTCGCCATACATTCACAAGGGTCGGACATCCGTACTGTGGAAATGATTTCAGGCCCTGAAAGTAAATATGAAGGGAAGAGGAACGCACCGAGGACATCTGTACGACTATTGGTATTGGCACAAGCAACACAAGTGGCAGCTCAGTGTTAGCCGTCCTTCGGGCACGCTTGCATGCTTGGACTCGAGAGATTTTTGTCACGTTCATCGATGGGGGGGGGCTTGGTTAAAGATTCCTAAAACACAGTTTTCAATGGATATCTGGATATTATCGGATCGCTCAAGGTTCTAGAGATACGCTTGTCAATGAAATCTGCCTTAATACACAGATTTACGAACCTTAGCCTCCCGTTGAGCAAGGCGCATTGTCATTTGTTAATACCCGTTCCGACCAGTAGAGTCACAATGAAGGAACCTGTGTCTGCTGTAGCCGCGTCAACCATGAAGGATCAGACTGTAGCGACGAGGGAAAAATGAAGGTCGAGGCCGTCGACGGCAAAGTTGTTTGCTGACGTCAACAAACAACCTCGGCTCTCTTCGTCATCACATCTCGCGTTGAGTCGGGAGACGCGTCGGGTCACGTGCACATTAGGGCAGGATTCCGGGACCTGGTCGTAGTTTTCCGTCGTCCCGGGTAACGTAGCTTTGCCCCATCGTGTCCATTTGCCTAGCGAACCCCGCGATACGGTTCCAGCGTCTCCCCCCAAATTCATGCCAATAGCAGCTAGTACACGTTGTTGCGACATTTTTCTGCCTCGCAAAGCCTAGATGACGTCGGGAAAGGCCTGGAAGCCAGTTCGGAGAGGAGCCCAGTGAGCACTCTTATCATCTCTTCCTCTTTCCAGGATTCTTAGGCTTGATCTAGGCATCTTTGGTGGCGAACAGGGCCTTTTATATGGTCGACTGCGAATGGCTGACAATTCATTGGCAGTAGCGGCTGGGTACATCATCAGTGATAACAGCTCCGCCATGGTCAGTCTACCCTTCCACTTTTCGCGACACCTTTTTTCATTATTGAACTGTATGTCTGGCCAGCATGTACCGTGAACGTATGCTCTAACCGTTCTATGCGACCTTGTAGTGGACTGGCAGTTCAAAGAAGGATGCATGTCGTTGCCAAGGTCAGATCACGCGTCTTCCCCGAATGGCACGCCAATATCAGTCAGCACACCTTCTGTAACATTCCTTTCGTCCTCCCAAACTGGCGTGAATCTACTTCCCAGCCAGTTTGGGCAAAGACTTCGGGCTCAGTGAGCAAGTCTGTCCGTTCTTCCCTTGTCAGCGTTCTTACGCATATTTCTAGGCATGGAAATGGAAGAAAACTTTTCGGATTAGTGGTCGATTGGTGATGGTAGTGCCGCTTGAAGGGCAAGCGATAGGCTGCGCCGACTCAACCTAAAGCCGACTTCCAATGCAAGAATCAAGCAAGGACTTGACGTTTAGCACCTCTACGATCATCGGTATGTGCTAGTGTTCTTCGTGACCCTTTTGTTCATCATTGGATAGCATGGCTGGATGGTACCTACCACGGAGGGTCGATCTAATCGTATCAGAAAGGATACCTTTATTGCCAAAGGTCAGATCCTTCCGATTTGACACCAATGAAACACTGAAATCAGTACAGGATGCCACAACGCTGTACATGCTAAGGGTCATTCGTATTGCGGCAGAACGTTTCCGCAGTTCTCTGGCGTACAGTACTGTAACGGTCGCTTTTTGGCTATTTTACTGTGACAGGTCAACAAGGTCTTTTCTATATGCGTCAGGATCACCTCATTTTCCTTATAAAATCTACATGCCAAGTCGTCCGCTTCGTTGAAACGCAATTTTAGCGTATTTCACTGTCGCGCGAAACTGAATCCGCGGACGAGCACTAAGTATTGGACCGGTCGTGTCTGGTTGTTGTACTGCAATAAGGTGATCAAATTCCATCGCTTTTCATCTAGAAATTCTCGCTGACTGTTCAAACAGACGCAGGATTACTGGCTATAACGGTACACCTGGACGACCTCTTCGGATGATGGAGCTGTTCTCAGTGACCATTGTCTCCAGCGCATATTCATACAACTACAACTACTGTAATGAATACGGCAGGCCCGATACACCATCGTAATGATGAGATCGATAAGCTACAACATAATCAACAATACTTACTACTGTCATCTAAAGGCTCGCTCGTGTTGTCTCATAGTGAGGAACTAGCGAAGTTACTACGCTGGATAGCATGGATAGCCATTACCGTTGTCAGACCTCGATTCCGAATACTCAGACCCGAAGACCCATATTTGTATATTAAACCGGTATCCCATCCTCCATCCTCACGCTGGAGTCCTCGAAGAGTCTGGAGGTCGATGTCATTTTTCACATCTGTAAATTTGCACACAATTAGACGCATTGCCAAGGCAAGTCCGTCTCCTTCCGTCCCAATCCATTCCATAACTCTCTCTTTCAGGAGTGGATAGAAACGACTATGGGTGGCTGGGTTATCACAGCCGCCGATAAATCGATAGAGGAAGAAGAGGAAGCTCTCTGCTGTCTCGTAATACCGTGATCCTTGGAGGTAAGCACGATGGAGAAGAACCTGGTACACCCATTCCAATGTCTGGTTCATCTCATTTCCTCAACCATAGGAATAGAAGAGGCTGAGAACATTGACACAGACGACAGGATCGATTCGTGGCCGGGTGTGGTCAAAGTACGTCTAACCAGACAAGTTAGGATTCACCTATACGATCCCGTCCTCGTTTACATACATCAGCATCTCATCCATCGTAGATGCTGCCACTTCCTCTTTTGCGGTAGACGAAGTCATATAGTCCCTGTGAACGCGAAGAGAGTATATTCTCGAGTTTGTCGTCTAAAATGGTTCGAGAGGGATCGAGGTCGCTTGAGAAAGCGTATAGCGGTAGAAACCTAGATTGGGTTTACGTCTACTGGCTGGAAAGGATGTAAAAATGCCGTCGAAGAATGACCAATTCATGTCCCCCGAAATGCTCCGGAGCGCTTCGTAGTCAGGCTGTGAAATGTTGGACATGGCAAAGATGTGCAACGCTCCGCGATTTTTATCTTTGAGTTCCTGGAAGAAGCTCGCCATATTCGCGTCCTATTTCAGGGAAGAGCAGGAGTCTTCGACTGCTTTATGGATGCACAATCCATCAGCTCTACAGTCTGATCATCACTATTGGCGAAAATTCCAACATTCTGGACATCTTCACTCAGCTCTGGTCCCCACCGCCATTCTCCAAAGTCCAACACCTCCAAAGACTGGCAAGGGCGGTCAGACTGGTCGAGATCTTCTTACCTCGTGAACTGAACATAGATTGCGAGAACTTTTACCTTGGTCAGTCCCACACTCAAACCCTGTCTATTCTATGCTAATCATGGCCCCGCTACATCACCTGCGCCACCTATCACTTCGCTGTCCGGAGTATCAAAAATCATCATCCCTATTCCGTTCGATGGCACAAACGGCTTCCGTCTCACCAACGACTGCCTCCAATGGTGGACATCCTCCCTCGACCAGGTTCCCCAACATAATGACATTACTGACATCCCCTCGAGCTCTTCGTTAATGCGCAATCGGTCACTTATCTTCCCTCTGGAAGAAGGACAACAGCATGGCAGGATTTCGACGGGGCCCTGTGTGACAGGAAATTCAAATTGAATAGCAGGTTCCGCGTCGATACCGATGGGCCTCTTAGCAGCGATCCTTATAACTATTGGCTATTGGCTCCGAACTGATGCTCTGGTGAATTCATTTGCACGTCACTTGGGTCTTTGTCTTCGATGACACGCCTCGAAAGGCCCTGGTAATCATTCATTACGTGATTCACATCCAATGTAATGATCTCTAGAAACTAGTATTTACATTGTACATAGGCTGGCATGCGGTATTAAATTAAACCCTATCATTCACTGTAAGTAATTCTCGAGGCTCATGGAAGCTCCTATGATCACTCTCCTCCCCATCTTTCGGGACACCTAACGGCATCTTCTGTACTTTTTCGATTCGCGTGAACGTGAGCTCCAAGTTATGAGGCAACGTCAGAGCAAATGGCGAGACGGTGTTTTTCAACGAATCCCTATGGACAGACTGCTCCGGCAAAGCCCACTGATACTCCCTGAGAAACACCGCCGCCAGCGCCCTTTGCTCGTACATTGCAAAATTTCTCGCGGGGCACTGACGCGGACCAAGAGCGAACGGAAGCCATCCAGACTTCTGCCATCCACGCTCCAGGAACCTTTCTGGTATGAATGAGTCCGGAGACGCCCATTGTCTGCCGTCGTGGTGGATAGCGTAAATATTCACGATCAGGGAAGTATGCGCGGGGATAGCGTACTGCCCGAGCTGGACAGGTCGGCTCGCCTGGCGGGGGACGATGTAGGATATAGGCGTGTTGATGCGCAGGGCTTCGCGGATACATGCGGTGAGATACGGTAACGAAACCCCAGAGAGCTGTTCGATGGAGGGGTCGAGATCGAGATCGGAGCCCAAAACGTTCAGAACTTCCTCCCGTGCGCGCCGTTGTATGTCTGGCCGTCGCGCGAGGAAATAGAATAGAGTGGATATTGCGCCTGCGGCGGTATCCTAATGAGGTTTACCAAAAAATCAGTACCAGTGCCTGTTCGTGCAAAGAATAGGCGGTTCTTACGTGTCCCGCGATGAACAGTGTGATCATATTATCCCGCAGCTCCCGATGCGACATGGCGGGATCTTTAAGCATGAAAGTCATCATGTCATCTCCCGGATTCACCTTCTTATCGGTTAGAAGCTGCATGAACTTGTCGACCAAGGTATCGATCCGACGGATGAGCTTCTTTCGGGGGAAGACGCACTCCATCCAAGGGAAGATGACATACATGGGATTGGCAATCTCCGCCATGACACCGTTGTAATCTTGGACGAACAGATTATCCGTTTCCATGGCGTTGAAATTGTGGCCCAGGATCGTAGAGCCAACGGCGTCAAGGGCGAACCGCTGCGAGTATTTGTCCCAAGTCACGGAAGACCTCTTCTTCCCCACGATTGCGGAGAGATTATGAGCTAGAGAGGTGAAGGCTGCAATAGGAATTCTAGCGTTGAAGGCTTCGTCGATCAAGACAGACTGCTTCCGCCACTGCTCGCCATTGGACATGAGAAGACTGGCAGAACCAACGAAGCGCCACAACAGGGACGCGTCGTCAGGAGTCTCCTTCGGAAATAGAACGACATTGTCACAAAGTTCTTGGGCAAGCTTATCGCGGGGAAGCTATCAACGAAAACAGGATGAACAGCGATAGAGGGCGAAGCATACCTTGAAATCCAAAATATGCACCATCCATCGACCCAGAACCCACACGAGAACAACCTGTTCACCGGCATCCCTAGAAAAAGGCAAGACGAGCCTCTTTATCCGACAGTCTTCGGTCTCTCCACGCAGATAGCTCCAAAGAAGAGGAAGGATGGCCACTCGAGGGAGGTGTCGCAGATTTCGCGGAGGAATAGCGATCCGATACCAGCACAGGAGCAAAAGGACGAGGGGGAGGGCTGCCGAGGCGTACATTGAAATTAGCGAGTGTCCTCTCTCCCGGAAGAAGAACAGAGAGCGGACTGTCATATATACGTCGACAGCTGCGCCCTCCGGCACGTTTTTTCGCACAATACCCGCATCCAGGAGAGAGAATCGCATGCAGCAAGCGGGTACGTATCCAAGAAGGCCAAGACAGTCACGGCCCATTGATTGGCATGAACATATGGTCGCCAGGGAAGGTGGGGCTCTAGACAGCGTCTCGTGCCTTTGAGATGACATGGATAATTTGACATGGTTGAAGGAGAAATCAAACCAATTCTGGGGGGATGGATGAACGAAAAAAAAACGAATTGTTAACTTTTTGTTCAACTTGTTCGGCGGACCAAGGTTAGGAAATTAGAACTGTTTTTGGAATTGTTAGTTTCTGGATGCCTGATTGAGTGAGATACAGTGAAGGGTCGAGGAGACAGCCATCGTTTCGAGTAAGGAACGAAGTAGCTCGATCCTGTGTTACCTCGAACTTGGAAGAAGTGCAAGTTGAGTGCAAGTTTATTTGAGCCAAAACCGGAAGCCGACCGGAGCTTCCCGCGGCTCCACCGTGGCTCTGGCACTTCATTTAGTTACCGAAGGTGAAACTTCTTCCACCAGGTTCGGTTTCCACCACTGATCTCAAAATACACTGGTTAACGGTATAATCGATACTTTACCTTCGGAAAACATACTAACGTCAATACAGAATTCATTGTTACTTCTTGCTTTATTTCATAATCGACCTTGAACGACTGGCGACATTGATACTGATGATCAGTGCGCATCAACGACAGCCCACTACTTGCTAAAGATGGCAGGCGTTATGGCCTTCCACTCATGCCCGGGCCACAACGCATTTGCACTTCCAGCTTTATCCGCGCCTTCCTTGTTTGCCTCGTAATCCCACCCAGTAGAGCCTCCACCACTCTCAATCAGTCCTTGCAGTTGGGCCAAGAACGACACGGCCAAGTTCCCAGGAAGCTTGTCGACATGATTAGGTGGAAGGCCTACCCTAGCAGCAACCTCCACCAGCGTCAGCCCCTCGCCTTGTAGGCGGAATATCTTGTCGTTTAACTGCTCAGCTGGCAGGTGCGTCAGAACATAGACCACAAAACCTGTTAGTATCAAATCAGCAAGAGTGCGATGGTGCAATGGATGGTGGGTTTACTCACCGCTGACGTCTTCAAGCGCGGTGAGGGACGCCTTCGATTGACCCTTCCCGACGATGCTGAATTTCTGGTCCACGATGTATCCGACGAGGGGGGGGAGGTAAGAGTAGAAAAATCCCGTCTACATCCAACGGTGAGTAAACCGCCAGTGCAGAAAAAAACCAAATGAACGCTTACAAAGAACCTTGCCGATGGCAATCCTATCTTCTTGAGATATTCTAGTGCTGTCTTCAGCTCCACGTCCAAATAGCAAAGCGCAGCATATATTCACTAGCAAAATCGTCCTTGTCCTTCAGCAACCCCGCAGGTGCCCCTACAGTGGCAAACCCAAACTCGGACGGCACGAACAGCTTGACGCCCGCAGCCTTGGCGCTATCTGCCAGAGCATACTGGCTCTTGCCCCCTACCACCGCATTGATAGCTGAAATCAGTACGTCGACCCCGTTATCCTTGAGCACAGCAGATACTTCTGCGGTATCCTCGTAATCCACTTTGGCGACCTTGACATTGGGGAGCGGAGTATCGGAAGAGTCTGAGGATTTGCGTGTGAGGACAAGGAAAGAGACGTTCGCTGCGACGAGAGCGTCGAAAATCTGCTTGCCGACTGCGCCATTAGCGCCAACGAGAGCGAATGATTTGTAGGCGGGTGAAGGCATATTGTTGTTAGATGGTTATGATGAACTTGTGCCAGTTTCTTATATGATTTAGTGCAAGCTTTCGTCATGATGGTCCACCGCCACCACGCACACTAAATAAGCACGATATCTCGCAATCTGGTGTGGCATGACGAATCCGTGAGTGTTTTGATACCTAATTCTTATCAAGATCTGTCTAAGATCTGTCAGCTGTGTGATCGAGATGAATAATGCTTACTGATAAGCACGGAAGCAAACTTCCGTGTAAGGTCATCCGTCGATCGTCAACTGAGAGTACCGTAACCAAGCTGTTTGCCACGCGTTCAACCTCAAATTTTCAGAGTCCATTTTCGCTCTGTTCTGACGCTTACCGCGCATTGAAAAAAATTATACATCATGTATAACCAGCATAGACAATGGGCTATATCATCTTACACCTCTACTTCCCTCAGACTGCACTCCTGCACGACATACACCCCTAGACAGCTTTAATTAGTCTCAGCATCGGGTGAAAAACCATCCGAGTCCTCACCAGCAGATCGTGAAATTTCCCCATTTCCCCAAACCTCAACATGGCAAGAGCGCGTGCTGGCCGACGGCGAATGGCATGCCAGCTCGAACAGCGAAAATTCACCCGAAGGACAACGGAATCTCTCCGTCCCGAAAGGCTCCCCAAAGTGGATAGGTATGCTGGCCACCTGGGATTTTCTCTCCGGCGCGACTTGTCCAGAAGATACGTGTATGAGCCGGTCTGACCAGTTCCATGACTGTGTTGTTCTCTATCTTTACCTCCAGGTCAAACCCATCGCTAGACGGAGGGATGGATAACGCCAAAGAGCAATACTGCATCCCATAGTCCAAGTGGTAGAACAGGAGCACCGTTGATGTCTAGAGAGAAACTTGGCAAGTCACTGATAGAGGGAGTAGCCAACGCTCATGTCCGAAGACACAACATATCGATGATCAGGAAATACGGTACCGAGATGGGTGGACCACTCTTGCACCAGGCAGCCAGGGCTGTGTGTTTCTACCTGTGGCACGATGTCGGGGAAATTCACGGCGGAAGTATGATGCGAGGTGTTCTGAGTCGAAGTGGATGCACTGGCTAGGTCGCCCAGCTTGGATGAAGCTGAACCGTGCTGTGTGCTAGGCGTGAATCTGACGACGCTCAAGGTCGTCAATAACAGTGTGGTCAGAGATGAGCATAGCACTGCAATAGATGTCCACATGATGAGATGGTCGCTCCAACCTTTGAAGAAAAGTATTATTCCCTTGCGCTCTGCCTTGATAGTACTAGAAGGACTTACAGCTGGTAGCTTTCTCTCCTGCAGTGCCAGTGACATCGGAAGTCCCCACTGGCGTATCGTCTGCTATTGGCTCTTTCCACAAAGTTAATGGCATCGGATGATGGAGAAAAGTGCGGTAGACAGTATATTTGAACTGGTCAGATATTTAAGGAATGGGCATGGATGAGATAATGGTCCCAGGACAGCGAATACAGCACATGATGTTTCAAACTAGAATGCATGGTGAACATACTGATACCTACACAGCACCTCCATAGCTCAAAGATGAAGGGCTCGGAATACCCTGAGGATGCAAAGCTGTTCAAAGAGTGAGGATGTTGAGTATTCTGAGAGATGCTGGTTCACCTGTGCATGTTTTATAAATGAGCATTTCTCCAAAACCATATTGTGCTGAATGGATAAGGTAGGCACATCAGCGATGTCGACTTGATGACATGTTTCACAAATTTAGCAGTGTCAATCATCATGAACATGTCGGCGGTAACAAGATGATTTTTTGATGATGTCCAGGCTTGATGAGGGCGGTTATACACCTGTATCCTATGCATATTAAAAAAAAAAAAAACAATCACAGCGACGACTGGCAGCAGGCCAGGGGCAGTTGTGGCTTCGGTAGCCAGAATGCTTTGCATGGGTGTACAGTGAATACTATGGGAACGATGATTCTTGCATGTTCATTCTCCTCTGAATTACCTTTGACTTGAATGCCACATTCATAATGCTGTTCTCCTCATCAAATGACCCCAGCTTTATATGACATGTGTACCACCACTGCAATCACTGATATGCTGGACAACTGTACCAGGTGGAAAGTTGGATATATATATATATATTTTCTACCAGGTTAGTTGCCCTATGCCACAGTAAGAGATAATAAGCAAGTAATTACCTGGCAAAGGACCAACTCCCTCAAAGGGCATCATCTCAGTATCCAGTGGGAACTGGAGTACTAGCAGGCCTTGAAATTTAGCAGGGGAGGTTCCCAGATCCAGAGGACTTGTATGATCAGTATGCCAGTAAGGGCTGGGCAGAGTCTGATCATCTGATTGGGCTAGCTGTGAATGAGCTCATAACTGCCTAACAACTGCATATAAGCACATACTTGCTAGACTGCACAAATGAGCTCATATCTGTCAGGAGATGGGTTTAGCCTACTGGACCAGGCCAGCAAGTCTATTAGTCAGTAGATTGGAGAGTTAGTCAGATATCAGGATTCAGAAAGTATAAATAGTGGTACAGAGATAGGGAAGGCATGTTTCTGACCTCTCCCAAAAACACCACCAAGTGAACAGTAAGGGTTGTGTTGAGAGCTTCAAGTCATAGACTCAACTTGAATAGTATTGTGATGACCAGGTCACTTTGTTTTGTGTAAGAACCCCAGAAAGCAACTGAAAGTTTGTGTCAGACAGTCAGAATACACTGAGACAGTTCAGAACAGCTAGTATTTGTATATAAGTTGCAACCAGATGCATCATATCAGTCTGGAAACTGCATCAGGCAGACCATCTGAGATAGATTTTGATGTGTTCAGTGACACAGACAACTTTGTCCCAGTAAACCACAATATATATCTTTGAATTACATTCTATTGCACCCTATCAACATTACATTCTCTATATACTGAGAATCTAGGTGTTACCATTCCTCTCTCAAACCACATTGTGACTTGATATTAGTGATTTGGTGGTGTGCATCTTGCACATTGTTGATTCATTTGGTGCCACTTCTCAGCATTTCATCACTACTGTCTAAAGTCTAGCAATGAGCCAGGCATGGCAGTATCACCCAATCTATGCTCTTTAGGCTTCCTGATCAGACCACTTCTATGACTATGCCTCAATCATTCCTTCAGCACAGCTTTGTCTACTGGCTACCATTGTTCAGGATCTGCACAATGTCATTTTCATGTCCTGCAGGATGACTGTCTGAATAGCAAGTGTAGAAGGTTTTGTTGGAGTTTAAATGCTGATGGTTTGGAAGAAGGGCATATTGAACTTGAAAGGAGAGTATATTCTGACAGAGTAGGGTCAGTGAAAGTTCAGAGTTAAGTAAAGATAGATACAAAATGTCAAAGTATAAAGTAAGTGGTAAATTAATATAAATAGAATGCTATGCTAAAGCTGGTGAAGTGCTGACTGTCACAGTCAGTGACTCAGAGGTCCCATGTCATTGACCTGACACTTTTCTGTTCTTGTTTAAATTCTCCAGGCATGGACATCAAAGTCAGCTCTTCTTTCTCATAGGGTGATGTGTCAATTGCAATTGGATAACACAAGACAGATCCATTGATGAAACATAGCCTCAATAGTATCTACAGTGTGTGTTCAGATATGGTGGAGCAGTTAACATTGCTACATATGAGTTCAAATCCCTGTGTATATTTGGTATGGATTGATATTTTGGCTCTATTTATGAGCAAGAGAAAAATTAAACATCTATTGTAGAACTATGAGTTATGAGTACTCACCCTAAGATGCCCTTAGACTTTGACATAGCCTTGTTTGGTTTTCACTTTTGCACAGTGTCTTATAATTGGAATCTTCAGTGATAGAGAAAAAGCACACCAATAATGAGCCATCTCACTATCTGAGAAAATAGTAGATTGATGGATATTAGACTGTGTACAAGCACAAGATGAGAAACTTGTTCCTGAATCCTGATGCTTGCTCCCAACAGTTCTTCACTATCATCCACTTTCTCAGAGTTCTCACTTGTATAATGCTAATAAAAATAAGGTGAATAACTGGTCTTGTGGTGAAAAGGATAGGTTGTACATTGTATTATATGATGAAGCTGACTGCTATATGGAATCTATGAGATGGGAAACTAATGCTGAAGATGAAAGGATATGAGAAATCTGAAGAGTCAGTCTTCAGCACAGTCACATCATTCTTTTTCTGTGTTTTATTATGTACATATCTCTAACTAAAAGACACATAAGCACTGTTGCTCAAAATATAGTAGAGATAGCCTGAGACATACTCTGTAGAGTGAGAGTAGCAGCATATACTTATATTTAATGCTGACCATATGGAAACCTTTGTATCATAGGATATGACTCAGCAATACTTTCAACATCAACCCTCATTCTCTACTGAAGCAATATTCATAGCCAATAACTCAGTGAAGCATTAGAAGAGACTTAGTAATGCTGGATATGAAGAATCTGAAGATAGACAGAAAGATAAAAAGATTGGATGACAAATTTAGAGACTCCTTCAAGATCATAAAGAAAGTAGGTGATGAGACCTATAAATTATCCATTCCAAAGATGTGAAAAACCCTTCTCATCTTTAATGAGAATCTGCTTGAGCTATTCTGAACAGCAGAATTCTCTAACCAAGAGGCACTGCCACTGCCAAAGCCAGTGATCATAGATGATAAAGATGAATATAAGATCAACATGATTCTCAATGACAAAATTTGTAACAGAAACCAGTGGTTCCTAGTCTATATCAAGAGATATAGCAATGAGGAGAACTATTAGTACACTGAGAAGAACCTTTCACATGCTAAAAGACTCATCATTGTTAGACCCAAGCTGCATGTGATCTTAGACACATGATAAACTGATATCACTTTGCACTTTGAGTGGAAAGACAGAGTTCACTAATGTGAATATGGATTGTTATGCAATAAGGCCTTAGTGATTGGCTTGAGGATAGAGTGGTATAAATAAACTTTAGCTTGAAGCTGGGTTTTACCAGCAAGAGCAAGCCATCTTATATACTGTATATTGCTGAGCTAAATATATGACTCCCTATCATATGTTTCTAAGTCCTGGTGCCTGTTGTCCTTAGGCATTGTTACTGTATACAAAAGGTTGATTGTGCATTGTTGAAAGCTGGTCACTGCATCAGAGAACAATGATAGATTGGCTTGTTGTGATGACTAAGCCTTTTTCATGGTTCTAAGTGTTCATTCTAGGTGCTCTAACTAAGTATGAATAGGAGTTAATACATATGAAAAAGATGAAAGCATGAAAAATCATAACATTACCTCCTTCTTAAGACCATTATCCTGATGGCTTAATTCAGAGATAATTCATAATCCCATATGGCATCTGCTGCATCCATTTGCTTCTCATTTACCCACTGGTTTGATTCTGGTCTATACCCTTTTCAGCTGACCAGGTAGTCAACTGTTGTTGTCATTCCTCTGCTATGTGCTTTGACTTTTTGGTATTTATGATCCAATATTTGATTGATCTCATAATGTTCTTCATTGTCAGTCAGATCAGGCAGTGGTGCAGGAGGTTGTTCCTGGTTAGGAAATGCCAGTGCTACATAGGGCAATAGCAGGGTCTCATTAAAGACATTGTGAATTTGCTAATATGTAGACAGTCAGAGACAATATGCTGAGATGCTGACTTTCTCTTTTACTGTGAAAGGGCTGGTGCATTTGTCAGTGAGCTTCTGCTTTGGACACAGGAGATGAAGGTTGATGGTGTCCAACCAGACTTTGTCATTGATGTTATAGGTATAGGCCAGGTGATAGTGAGCATTGTACTGTCTCTTCATTATTACTGCTGCCTTTTTGAGAGCTATCTGTGTTTCATTATGGATTTTTATCATAGTTTGGGCAAAGTTGGTGGAGGCCAGTGTTATCATGTGAGATCATGTTGTTTGAGTGATATTTGGGTGTCACCTGTAGTTGACAAAGAAAGGGGATTTCTCTATTGCAGAGTGAATGCAGTTATTGTGTTGAAAAGCCATCAGTGCCAACCATTTGACTGAGTCATCTTGTCAGTGATTAATAAAAAGTTGTAGGTACTTTTCAACTTCTTGGTTGACCCTTTTGGTCTGTCCATCTGTCTGAGGGTGATAGATGGTGGATGCATTGCATTTGATGTTTAGAAGTTGATAAAGATCATCCAGGAATTTGGATACAAATTAGAGTCCATGATCTGAGATTACCACTTGAGGCATGCCATATTTGGCATAGACCTTATCATGAAGGATTTTTGCCCATTCTTCAGATGTTAGTTCCATTGAGCAGACAATTGGGATGATCACCTTAGAGAACCAGTTGATGATAAAGAGGATTGCATCATAGCTATTGCAATTGGGAAGTCCAGTCACCATGTCTACTGAG